GTGGGAGCAACAAAATACAAGAAAGAGATGCTGATTTTTCCTTGACCARCTTTCTCTTCAAAATTATACCCTGGAAATAATTCCCTAATCTGTCTGGAGAAGGAACATGAGATGGATTTGATGCAGGACAAGGAGTATCAACTGCACTCACAAGCTACATGAGATCGGCAACCTGTAAGCTCCAAATGGCTGCAGGTTCAGACACAAGCAAATCCCCATCTTAGCTTCCAAAAGCRTCCACCACTGTGGCATGAGTCCAAGGAGATGAGACAAAAGGCCATTCTGGACATTTTTTCCTGGTATCCAAGCACAGAGCTCATTCTATGAAGATCCTGTATTATTGGTAGGGTCACTGTCCTGTCAATTTCTGAAAATATTCCTCTGGTAAAGGGCACAAGCATCTTCTCCAGTAGGTCTCAGAACCTTTCCTATTTCTTTCAGGCTTTGTTGCAGCCTGGTATCTCATAGGCAGCCTTGGCAATTTGAGACATAAAGYGGGACGACTACCCTCTGCAGCACTCTGCTGCTTCCAGGAGCCTGGCATGGGGAAGAGCTGTCTGTCAGACCCCAAGATCCCCCCCACGGCCCCGCTCACTCTGACAGGCAGGAAAAGCAGTACAAAGCGCAGACAGATCAAACCATCAGCRCTGAGGAGGGTATTTCTCAGGATCACTAACACCATCCCTGAGCTAAACACAAGCCAGTAAGAAACACTTTTTTTATTAAATTATTTTTYACTTCCTTAAGTTGGTGAAGGCTACCCCCTATAGAGGGCTATGGAAGTCAACCCAAGGACAGAAGTAGAAATGGTGAAAAAGGCAGGCACATTCAGCTTCATCCTGTGTCTGGGTGTCCCTGAGAAATTTCTCTCCCAGCTGAATTATGTTTTTGGTGCAAAGTGCCTCAGGTTTTTGCAAGAGTAGTTTTTCTTAGTACTTTCAGATTGCATGTCCACAAAATGACATGAGGAAGGATAGCGTGGAGGGAACAGAGAGCACAGGGTCAAGTTAGAAGAAAGCAAAACAGAGAATTGTTTCTATGAAAGGGCCCTCTGAAGCTTCAAAAATAGCTCAAGTGATGAGCCTGACCATTTCCCTTTGAAGCATTGAWGTCACCCTGCCTGTGGCAATGATCCACTTACCAGACTGACGATATTATTGCTACTGGCAGTTACTCTGGAACTGAAGTCAATAAATACCATTTCTAAATTAAGTAGCCAGAGAATTTTCCTATTGCTTCTCCTATATTTAATTCTTCCTTGTCCAGTAAGTCATGGTGTCTCACCCATTGCCATACCTTTCCCTCACCATTAGAAAGTACAAAGTGCAGAATGTCAGAATGGCCTATATCACTTTTTGTCTGTCTTACCCTTTCTCTTTGTAAATTTCTCGTTCACATTACCTCTGTCTAAGATGGCATTTTTCCTTTGATTACAGCTGCAGGCTCTTTGACTAGGTAATAAACTTCATGTAACCAACCACCAGATCCACTGGTGTTTTTCTCTCACAGTGCTTCTTCCTGAATAATTCCCCACATCACTTCCCTCCTCTGAGTGTGCGAGTGTGAGGAGCRAGTGTGCTCCTTGGTGGTTCAGGTTACACTCCAGATGTGCAAATAAGGCGACCTGGTCAAGAAGACAACCTCCAGTTCCCAGGCCAACAACAAATGCCTTGCCATCCTTTGCAACATGACCCAAACAAGCTGACTTGTGGCAGCACAGGTCCTTTCCCTGCCTACAAATTGTCACCAGTAATTTTGGCAAGTGTTAATGAGGCATCRTTACTGCAGAGTATCTCCCACACTTCCCAGTTGCAGGTCTCTCATAGCATGTGTGCCATCCCCCAGCTCTGTGTCCTACTGGGCACACTGAGATGCTTTCAGCAGCTGTACTGCAGGGACTGCTGTCCCTCAGCTGTAGCAGCATGTTTCCCCAACACTTTTTTTTTTTTTTTTTTTTAACCTCCCTGTCCCCTCTGAATAGGCGGCAACTGGGGACTCAAGCACGCTGAAATTATGCAAATCGTCCCACCGGGTTTTTTGTAATGCTAATTATATCAAATGCATGCTCATCAATGAGAACCTCTAATTCCCTTTGCTCATTATCTAGATGTCGCACACTGATATAGAAGCATCTGAAAAAATGAATCTCCTCATAACACAGTGTTTGTGGGCCCCTTGCCACCACATTCGCAGCTCCTGTCTCTACCCCAGAGCCCCCAGGTGATACTGGGCACCRGGACATGCACCAAATTGTCCCCAAAAGCCACCACTCCTTTGCCCTTTCCTATAGAGGAAGGAAGCCTTATCTTGAGGCTTTGGTRTTTGAGTCACAGAATTTCTTAAGTCTTGTATTTGTGACTTAAATCAGCAGGAGTGACACGATGGATATGTGCTATATGGCACTACAGAAAGTGTAATCCAAAGTAGTTAGAACATACATCTTAGCTACTAAGTTTCCTGGCTGTAAAGTAGTAATAATACCTTATCAGCTAATAGGCCTCTTGAGAATGACATTAATGCAAATTTATGAAGCCATTGGATGGAGGGATGATAAATACTACAAAAAAGCAGAAGATCTGTGGCCCTGTTTGCAGAATGGGGTTTGGATATGTGCAGTAGATAGCTCATGAATTCGTATATGGCATAGAGAAAAAGAAAAAGGGGAAAAAATAGTAAAAAGCCACTTTTTTTCTCTGTCTGTGACCGATGTTCTTCCTACATGGTGAACAAAGAAGGCATTTCGTGGGGAAAACAATCTGTCATYGCGTAACCAAGGACAACCGTGGCACCTGTGCACAAGGAGCCCACAAGGAGAAAAGTAAGTCTGGCATTTCTCAACTCAAAGTGCAGGGCTTCGACACCTTCTGTGGGAGCRTGTCTACATTTATCGAAGCGCTCCCTAATTGTGTGAATTCGACGTTTGCCAGGCTCAGGTCAGGTAAAAACCCTCAGGACGACCCTGACCCGTGCCATCGGCGAGATAACTTCCAAATGCTTTTATTGTCATTCTGTTCTTTGCGTCGTACGGGGATGTTACTATCCTGACAACAAAATTAACTCCTCTTCTCCCCCTGCTCCCGGCGAAGAAGTACTCACACATTAGCTTCCTTCAGTTTCACAACTTCTTGCCTTTATTACCATTTCTTTTCCTCAACAAATTGCTTTTCTTCTAAAGGCTGAGGGAAAACTGCTTTGCCCTGTTTGCGTCCGTTTCGGAGGGGGTCGGTGCGGAGGGAATGGACACCCCCGTCGGTCCCGGAGGCGCCGGTGTCGGTGTGTGCCCGGATCCCGTTCGGGAGTGCCGCCGCTCCGGGCCCGAGGCGCCGCCTGGGGCCGCTGTTGGCCGTGGAGAGCGCGGGCGGGCGGGGAACGGGAGCGGAGCCTCCTCCGCCCGGCTCAGCACCGCCTTCCTTCCCTCCCCCCCCCCCCCCCCCCCCCCCCCCCCCCCCCCCCCCCTCCGCCCCCCAATTTTTCTTTAATTATTTTTTTCCCCCACACAGGATTAGAAAAACTCCTTTATCACTACCTCGAGGTGAAAAGTTTGATTCTCTCCCTCCGCCCTTTGCCCTCCCTGGGAGAAAAGTTATTCCTCGTTCCTTTGTATTTCAGGGGCTCGAGTGGAGAGTGGCTGCCTGTGCTTCAGCGGRCAGTGTGCGCAGTGCAGGGAGGTTTTACAGCTACCATGGAAGCCTTGTCATTGTCACTGTCACTGTCACTGTCTGAAATAGGTGAAAGCAGTGACAGCTATGCCTGGCTTTAGTACATGCAGACTCCCAAATACCCTCAAACAAATTCATCAGCATAGCAGGTTCTTCTAGTGATGTTACACTACTTCTTCATATTTTGTTTGGGAGCCCTTAGCGATCACTGTCTCGCTGCTCAAGATGCTTGCAAACCAAACAAAAACCGATCCACGTCCAAAGATCCCTCCGAGTGTAACAGCAGAGGGAGTGGAAATGTGGGAAACCTCAAGGAAACCCTGAGCCGGTTTTGGTCCGCAGGATGCACAGCAGCACCAGCGGCAGCGGCAGCGGCAGCCTGGCCTCTGCCGAGATGCTGTTAGCATTGCAGAATACACGAGTTTGCAAGAAAGGCTTCAAAAGCAACGGGCAAAATGTGAAGATTTTGCTGCACTCAGCCACAGGATCAAGGACTCTGCAGCTGGAAGGCAAGCAGGGTATGCAAAGTGTAATCCGAGCAAGAACAACTCTGGGAGGGAACGATAATGAAAAAAATGCCTGGGATAACAGAACAGCATCTAAAACACAAGGTCAGAGAAYCATACAATTATTTAGGTTGGAAGGACCTCTGGAGGACATCCGTTTCGACTCCCAGCAACAGGGGGGAGTGGAAGGCAGAGGGTAACCTCCCAAGCTCAAAACAGACACAGCTGAAGTTGCTCAGGGCGTTTGTAATACAAAATACATGTTTTGTTGTAAGGATACATCTAGTGGTGGGAGGCACACAGTCAGTACGCGGTAGAAGGAATAAAAACAGTAATAAAAGCAATTTGAAGATAAGGTCTGGCTTGTTCTRGGACTTCTGAAACATCTTTTCAAGCTGACTTACAGAACTCAGAGTATCAGACGATTTCTAGAAAATACAACACATATTTTAATATTTATAGTCATGATTAATAGTCATAATACTTTTACGTATCATCCAAGTAGGGAACCATTTCCAGAAGCATATGACATATGTCTGTTCTGGAAGTCAAAGGACTTGAAATCCTAATGCATTTGTACATTTTTGCGGATACACTGTCTGATCCATACAGAATAAGTGTTCTCTGTGCCTTTGCCATCTYTCTGACCTTTCACTTGTTTAGTCTTATTTGATGAGAAGACATTTGTTTAATGTTCACATCTGCAAATGACACGAAGTACAGGGAAGTAGTGAATGACACCTTTTACCTCTGACGTACTTAACAAGAATACTAATTTAAGAATTATCACAGTAGGATATAGAGGGTCACCTATACAGGTTAAAAAGGCTATTCCCATTTAGCTTCCTCTTCTCGAATACCATTGCTTCAGGTAGCTCCTGTTGTTCTAAACACAAACTTTAAAGTGGTTCTGGTTTGTATTGTTGGACACCATCATACCCTAGGACTTTCAGATTTGTTTGTCTGGCTTTTTTTATACACACTGATTAAAGAGAAGCCATAAAGCAAGATAAGGGTGAATGACTCAGTTCACTAAAAGACAGCACATACGTGTGCTGTTCCTTATCACCATGTGATGGAATAAAAAAGCCCTGAAGCTTACAGAGGCAAAAATGCGGAAGCAGAAGACTTAGTTAACACCAATTCTCTMTGTCAAACATGAAAAATATCCCAAATCCCCTGCAGAAGCCAAAGYGATTAAATTTGACTAGAATCCTCAAAAATAAAACAAAACTAATGCAAGCTGAAAAAGACTGAATACCCAAAGGACCAAACGTAGCAGTCCACACTGGGTGCACCACTGTTGATACATAATAATTAAACAAAGCCTTCAGAAAYCCAAAGTCAGGAACTTCTCTGCTGCATTTAACATGACCAGAAGCCCTCTTTATTGTTAAACTGGTTGATGAGATTCATTAAGAGATCAGCTTTTCAGTTATTTATAATTTAGTCAAAATATTTGAGCTAAAATTTCCTCTGTTGGAGGTGGAATATTTATGAAATGTTCCAGGTAAAAATAGTTCCACTATTTTCAGGAATGAAGCTGCAAAAAAAGATMATGTTTTCTGGTGTGCTTTTCGAGAAGTTATGTGTTGTGTGTTGTGGAGGGTACTGTAACTTCAGCAGAGGAGCAGCCTCTTCTTCCTGAAGGAGTGGCATGTGCCTGCTGACGTTTCATTCATGCTTGGCAAGCTTGGCAAGAGAAGACAGAGCCAGACTCTGCTCGTAGTGGCCCTGAGAAAGCACAACAGCCATGRCTTGCAAAACAGTCCTGGTGAGCGTGAGGAAAAGCCTCTCCCCAGGGCATGTTTCAGCACTGGTGTGGGTATATCAGGAAGCTGAGGAACTGCCATTCTTGGAGGTGCGCAGAAGACACCCAGACAGACACCCAGACAGGGCTCTCAGCAACCTGAACTACCTTGGGGTCCCAAGAACATCCTCTCTGCTCCTCGGGCTTTGGCTGGACGAGCCTGGGGACAGGTCAGAGGCAGTGGAGCTGAGGGCARCTGCTTCCCTCTGATGACTTTTGGRAGAGTTTCCAGAAAGCTCTGCTGGAGCCTCAGTCTGGACTGACCCCCTGCCTGAGGAGCTGCTTTTAAGCTGGTGCTCCTGCCCTTAGTTCCTGTCTGAGGAGTCTGGCCTGTGCCGGACCATGCACTCTGGATCTGGACCTGTGGATAGGCTTCCTGGCTTGACCTAGGACCTGCCTTGTCATGATGGATTTGTCAGGCAATCTCTGGACTGTGGCTCACCCTGGTACCTGGCTCATCCTGATGCTGACTTGACTTCTTAATTTGACCTTGGACCTGCCTCATCACCACAGACTTGTCTGATGATCTGGATTCTMAGTTAATGTGGCTGTCTGCCTGTACCTGTCTTTGTCCCCTTGCTCAGATACTTTTTCTTGCTGGCTAAGCCTCTTCCTCTGCCTGCCTTGTGACCATGCCTGGCTCTCAGCTGTTACATTCCTTTAGGGAGCCACCAGCCCTCACTGCCCCCAGCAACCTGCTGCGAGAACGCAGCTCAGGTAGAGACCTCCAGAGGTCCCTTCCCACCCAAATCTTTCAGTGGACTTACAACAGCACTCTAGCCAAGTTAAAAGGAAAGAAAAAAAATCAGTTTCTCTGGGCGGGGAAGAAAACGTAGCTGTGAAGATGTTGTGTGGATGCTTAGGTGCATGATGCATTAGATTAGGGAAAGGAGAAAGGACCAGAGAGACAAGGAGAAGGAAAGGGTTGTAGGAAGGAGGAAGATGGAGTAAGATTTGAAAATGGACAGCAGTGCATCGCTGTAATATCACTTCATTATCCCATAGATCCCAGGATGAAAGGGTAACAGAAGAGATGCACACAGCTCTGTTTCCTCTCCAGCTGCACTATTGTCACAAATGATTCATGGTAGTTCKGAGCTTTTAAAATGGAAAACCTACTGCTCTGCAAGCCCTCTTCCCCTCTATCCCTGCATCTCTTGGGCACCATTAGATGTTCTTCATCTGCAGATGGATTTCAAGGCTGGTCTGTTGGTGATGCACGGGCTGAACAAGGGGACAGTGCTGGCTTAGCTAGGGCATATGTCTCACAGGCAGGCTGTGACACAATGATGTCTGTGTGGAGAGGCTCATCATCTTCTACAGGTCTTCCTGAAGGCCTGCTTCTGCAGTCATCTGTAGTAAAACAGGATCTTCAAGAGAGCCTGGAAAAATGGATTTAAAACCCAGTATCTCCAAACACAAACCCATAATGTATTACAAAACATTTATTCTCACAGCAGTCATGAAGTAAGAACTTGAAACCAGATTTATTGCTTATTGAGAAGCATAAAAACTATAAAACCTAGCATTCTTAACTGCATTTCTTGTCACTTTCCCTGACCTTTCCTTTAACATTAAAAAAACTAAAACCAAACCGCTGTAATGGATCCACTCCAGAATAGCCTGAGACCCACTGGAAGCCACAGAGAGGCTGTTTAGCAGTGCAATTGGAAAGGCAACGCTTGGCCATTGGCAGGAGTGAAAAACTGGGCTTCTGGCACTGCCTGGGTACAGCTGGATCTCACCTCTAGGGAGATTTATAGGGCTGAAAAAGCACAGGGCAAGCAAACATGTTTCACTGCAGCCTCATTCTGTGACATCATTTCTTTTCAACAGTGAAAATCACTCAGACCTGAAATCAATCATCCTGTACAGGGCCCAGCAACAAGAGAGTGCAAAGCACTAACATCAGCATGAACTTCTGACACGATGACAACATTGGTATCCTCTCTTTTTTTTCTGAGGCCATTGGGAATGTAGTTTCTTTAAATATGCTATTTTGCTTTAGGTAATTGTGACATTGTGCCACATGTGTGTGTGTACAGCTGCACATTTGACATACCTCCTGAAGATTGTTTTGCTAAGGTCTGTGATTTTCTATWCAATTAGGAACCCATTTTCTGCAAGATTACTGGAAGCTCAGCTATTCTCCTTGACCCCAACAAAGCTTGCTAAATGCTTCTATTCTTTTGGAAAATTAAGATACTCATTTAGGAGTCCTAAGATGGACCTATGACTCTAATTGAAACATCTGGTCAAAGGTTTCCCCCAGCCATTGCTAGTAAATCCACTTTGTCAGCAGAGAGTCCCATATCTGTGTTCTGATGATCCCCAGAACTGCCTCATGCTACAGTGCAGCCARGAAATACTCAGACAGGATGGACTCGCTATAGGAATTGATGCTGGCTGGATCTAGACACGCTAAGTTTGTTTCAAATCCTTCTTCCCCACTATGTTTCCTGTACCAAAAGAGTCAGGTTATGACCGTGTCACCAAGGCATCTCTGTTTATTCAAAACAACCTTCCATCCTCCAGCTTTGCATTATCACRTTCACCCACAAACAGTCTGCTGTGCTCCCTCAAAGAGTTTGCTTGCTGTATTTATTGCACGGGTGACTGCAATGGGACGGCTTTCCTGGGCTTAAATTTCTGAGTCCTCAATAGGGCCATTGAGAAATACTGCAGTAGGAAGCGACGGCGAAAATTCCTTGGGACGGATAAAGTTTTCAGATGGGAACAGTTTTATTTTAGAGGCAGCGTGATCTCGGATTGACTTACTGTCCACAACCTGATGCTTAAGCGTCCCCATCTCCGAGTCCCAGGCTTGTCCCTTCCGCAATTTCTTGAAGGTGTTACGGAAACCCTCGGTGCTAAAGTAGTAGATCAAGGGGTCCAGAGTGCAGTTCATGCTGGCCAACATCATTGTTATAATTAACGYTTGGCGCACGGAGGCCTGGGTGTCCTCCTCAACCTTCATCACCCGGGCCTTTATCATCCCATAAACYGCCAGGGTAGTGTTGTAGGGCACGAAGCAGATGATGAAGATGACCAGATTGACCAAGAGGAGACGGACAGTCTTCTGCTGCCGCAAGGTCTTTGTCTGGCTGGGCTGGCAGAGCTCCTGAAAGATCCGAATTGAGCAGTATGTCACAGAGCTGAGAGGCAGGAGAAACCCCAAGATTTCAGCCAGGATTACCAGGGGAAAGAGGTTATTCTGCCACATGTTGTCACTAAAGCTTTCAAAGCACAGATAAATGGTCTGGTTGTGTACATTACAGTGGTTTTGCTTGTGGACTATGGCTGTGGGGATGGAGCCCATGAAGATCACGAGCCAGACGATCAGGCAGAGGAGCTTGGCTACCTTGGGGCGCCGCAAGTGCCGCCAGCGAAGCGGGTGAACAATGGCAATGTAGCGATCCAGGTTGATGCACATGAGGAAGAGGCAGCTGCCGTACATGTTGATCTGGAAGACCGAACCAGAGACCTGGCACAGGACGCTGCCGAAGGGCCAGTGGTGGTTGGAATAGTAGTAGAGCCGTAGTGGCAGAGGTAGAGTGAAGCTGAGGTCGCTTATGGCCAGGTTCAACATGTAGATCATCACTACAGACTTCAGGCGCAGGTATCGGATGAATATCCATAGAGCTACCACATTCAGGATCAAACCCGTAATGAATATCAGGGTGTAGCCAGGCATGAGGAGGTGGTGGTTGAAGGTGTAATCCTTGCATGTCTGAGACGTGTTGGACACTGACATGCCCGGCGTGGGTCAGGGGATGGTCTCGCTGAGATGGCTGAGCCTGTTGGTGGGCTAAGGAAGCACAAAGAAGAGCACTGAGTGAAGTCATTCCCCTCCAGGAAACGACGGGTAGGTCATTCCTGTCACCTGCAGCTGGGAGATAGATGGGCAATATTTCTCTTGGCTGGTGCTGCTTTGGATTGCTGATCTGTGGTCATCTGGCAGGGATGGTAATAATGTAGAGTCAGCTTCTGCCTCTTGTTCAGCAATTCTTTCCTGTGGTTATGGGGGTGCTGAGGCGATGGAGGGTCATTGCCAGCTGTCACTACAGTTCCTGGTCAGAGTGGAAGACCAAGACAGAAGAGTTTAAGTTAGGGGAGAAAATCTCTTGAAATGTAAAAATCCCACCACGATGGCTTCTGCAGCAAGAGCTTACAAGGAAACCAAAAGGTGAGCAAAAATGGACACTAGAAAAGAGAGTAATTACATGGCACAAGAAGACAGAGCACAGGGAAGGTGGTGGTTGTACAGAATCATTTATCACTCAGCCCTAGAAAATGAACTTTGCTTTGATCACTGCTGCGAGCACATGAATACAAGAAAGGGACACCTCAAACACACAGTGAAAGTAGTTGAGGCAGCTCCAGAGAWGGAGAAAGAAAAAGAAGAGGGCAGCATTTTGAAGGAAAAATGCTGACTGGGAGAAACTGAAAATAAAAACTGCATAGTACTGTCTTATATCAGATGTACTTTGTACATCCATTTCAGATAAAAAACAATTATAGCAYAGTTAGAGCTGACTCCACCCATGCTCCTTTTCTTACAATGAAACAACAAAAACAAACCTCAGTCCCAGTGACTTTAAATTCATTATGCTGCTTACATTCATACATTATCTTTGGTGTCCTTACTTGCATGGGACTAGTGGTGCTTGTTTGAATTGCACATCTTGGGTTCATTCTTTAACACCCAAGAGTGTTATTTTTTTTTTTATTAACACCCTAGAGCTTGAAGCAGCCCATGTCCCACAAACAGAGCAGCACAGCCACGGWAGGGAGCATAATGAAAAAGGGCTGTGTGATTAATGTGGACAAATATGACTTCAAAGTCGTGTGAGGCTGCTAACAACTCTAGGTACTAATGGCAGCACTATCCYAACCCTGATCAGCTGGAATGAGCCCAGTAGAAGGCCACCAAAATGTCTGGGGGCTGGAGCATTTGTGCCATGAGGAGGTGCTGAGGCAACTGGTCTTGTTGAGCTGCACAAGAGAAGGCTCCAGGTGATGTAACAGCAGCCCCCCCGCACTGGGTTAGCATGGCAAGGTTTTGGTAGCTGGGAGTGCCACAGGGGTGCTTCTGTGAGAGTGTGCCAGAAATTTCCTCTGTGTCTGACACAGGCAGGTAAGGCCAGGATGGACATGCCACTGGCCAGGGCCGAGCCCATCGGTGATGGTGGTACAGACTCTGGGATAATGCAATTAAGAAAGGGAAAAAGTACTGTCAGACATCAATTGCAGCCAGAGAAGTGAGAATCTGTGATAGAAACAGCCCTGCAGATGCCAAGGTCTGTGAAGAAGGAGGGGATTGAGGTGCTCCAGGCACCAGAGCAGAGATTCCCCTGTTGCCCTGGAAGAAGACTGTGGTGAATCCATGCTGKAGCAGTCTGYTCCTGAAGGACTATACCCTGTGGAAAAGACTCACACTGGAGCAGGGATAGGTGTGACACAGTTCCCCAGGGCTGTTTGCAAGCAGTTTGCATTGTTAAATAGGGATTCCCTCACAGAGTCCATGTAGATTGGGATTTACTTCAAAATGAAAGTAGAATTTTCTGTCTAGAGAATATCTTTACACGAGGCTGATATTACTCAGCAACTTGACAGGCATGACAARCATGTCAGACCTTCTGGATGGCATTTAGTGGCAATGCACAGACCCAGAGAGAATCTGCTGCAGACAGAAGCGTGTGCTGACTTCAGAGATAGAAAAAGATTCATTGTGGTAACAATATGTTAAACAATGCAAGTAGAAACCTAACACAAGAGTGTAGACAGCTACCAACTTGCCCATCCTTTTGTGTTGTTGGGCAGGTCCATCACCAAGACAGGTTTCTTAGAGAAACTTCTACGGGTTTATCAAGCTATATCTGAGTGGATTTTACCTTTCTTGGTGGATGAATACTTTGCATGAAGTCTTGTGCAAGTTTAAAGTGTAACATAACCTAGCAAGTCAAGGCAAATGTGCAAGAATGTTGTTGGTTTCAAGTGAAATGTTTAAATTATTCAAAAAATCTCAAGGAAAAGCATTGCCAGTGGTCAAAGGAGGCGATTGTCCTGCTCTGCTTTGCAGTGGTGCAGCCTCGCCTTGAGTCCTGTGTGCGGTTTTGAGCACTGTAATATAAAAAAGACACTGAGCTATTAGAGAATGTCCAAAGAAGGGCCATGAGGATGGTGAAGAGTCTGGAGGGGAAGCCTGATGAGAAACAGCTGAGGTCACTTGGTGTGTTCAGCCTGGAGAAGAGGAGAGTGAGGGGAAACCTCATTGTGGTCTACAACTTCCTTGTGAGGGGAAGAGGAGGRGCAGGCACTGATCTCTGCTCTGTGGTGACCAGGGACAGGACCTGAGGGAATGGCCTGAAGCTGTGTCAGGGGAAGTTTGGGTTGGATGGTAGAAAAGGGTCTTTACCCAAAGGATAGCTGAGCACTGGAACAAACTCATCAGGGAAGAGTCACAGCACCAGCCTRACAGAGTTCAAGAAGAGTTTGGACAAGACTCTCAGGCACAGGGTGTGATTTTTAGGGTGTCCTGTGCAGGGCCAGGAGTTGGACTCAATGATCCTGAGGGRTCCCTTMCAAGTCAGAAGATTCTGTGATTCTGTGATCTATGTCAGCTTTTGCTAGAGTTGAAACCCTGTAACGAACTGCAGACTGAACRGACTGACCAGACCTTTATCTTGATGGAGACAAAGTTATTGAAACTGAGACTCAGTGAGTCCATGACCTGCTGTAACACATGTACTTAGACCAGCCAGATGTAAGCTGAAAAGGACTTATCTCTACAAACAACCTGTTTTTTTAAGCTTTCAAGAGGTATTCAATAAACAGATCTAGAGAATATAATATGTAAGCACAGTCCGTGCTTTGTGACRCTATCTACAACTCATATTCCATCTCAAATAGTGGATGGTGATGTGATTMTATTAAGAGCAGTACAACCATGCAGTTACACTGCCTCAAGTTGTCTTCCTGTTTCCAGCATCAATTGTAGCCCAGGAATTTCCTGAGCCACAGGTGACCCAGTCATATTCTGYAGTCCTCAGGGAACTTTTATTTCATTGTTTTTTTCAGTAGCTTTTCGAGTTGATGTAAAATTTATCATCTACATCACCCAGTGCCAGGASTGCCAAGGACTTCTGCTGTTTACGTGTGCCTCAGTTGAAGAATCACTTCCATGTACCCACCTTTGATTCACCACCTGCTAGGTTTAGTTCTTAGCTTTAGTGCTGGAAGAGACTGGGCAAAAAACATTCCTATTCACCTTAATTTCAGGGCAGACAATATTATAAAAGCCTACCCCCTTCCCACTCAGTAATCTTTCTTTTTTTTTTTTTTTTTTTTTTTTTTTTTTTTTTTTTTTTTTTTTTTTTTTTTTTTTTTTTTTTTTTTTAGGCTAAAGGGTTCTTGTCTTTACAGTTTTTCCTTGCAGAAAGCTGTTCTGTACTTTTCAACATCCTTGTTGCCCTCCTCAGCACCTTTCCACTTCTGCCACAGCCTTTGTGAGCCCTGTGCTGGTGCTGAACACACACAGTGCTGATGATGTGGATGCTCTGAGCTGCGTAGGTGTAGATCTCATTTGCAAGTGGTAATGGTCAGTTTGGTTTGCTGTTTCCCATCACTTTGCCAGATACAATTAGTTTAATTCCAGCTGTTAGTTTGAGTCCAGTCACTCACACTTCTCTTAAGCTCTGCAGTTCTTTGCAGCACACCCTCAACTTTTTAAACTTGAATAATTTTATGTCTCCAACTGTTATTTTATTATTCATCCCTCATGAATAAGTCAAACAGTCCAAGCTCCAGCACAGTGTTTTATAACTCCACTGCGAAAAACAACCATCTACCTTCATTCTATGTCTCTTCTTTTTGGCACTTTTTTTTCCAGGTGGGAACCTTTTCTTTAAATTTTTTAAGTGCCATTGGTGAGACCACCTTTGAAAGCCTTCTGGAAAGCCTTTGAAAGCCTTCTGGAAATCCACATGGGCTACTGCTCACACACTTGTTGAGCCCTTTAAGGAAGGACTGTGGGAACAGCATCCCTTTATAAAAGCCATGATGACTTTTCCCTGGTAATTAAATGTGACTTCATGCAATTGATTTTTTCCTTTATTATAGCTTCTAGTAATTTGTTCAGCAAAAACATCAAGCTCTTTGGTCCGAAACCCCCCCAAGAGCCTTTTCTCAAATTGAGTCTGCTAGTGAGCCTTTAAGAGCTGTTTCAAGCAAATGTTTCTATACCACAATTAGTCAGGTCTTCCACCCTTCAGTTATTTCCAGACCTCYGGGGTAAGAGCCGTGTGGTGTTAGACACTGCTTAGTTCATCTTGCTGTTGCGTGGCTGTTCCTGCTAGTGTTTTGACCAGAGACAGTCCTTTGATGAATTTTCCCATAAAGAAAGTTTCTACTCTGGAAATCTCCCCCATGAATACCAGTGAAAGAAACCTGTTAATTTCCTTGCCCCCAATCACCTTTTCTTTCTTTTCTGAGTGGTCATTCCTTACACCCTCTAGCCTTTCAGCCTTCAAGATACTGAACAACRGAGATCTAAACTGGCAGCAAAGATCACTGACAACAGAAAATAGATTGGGATTTTTGAGGGGATTTTTTTTTTGGTGGGTGGATGGAAACACAGAAGATCTGCTATGGTGTTGGTATGGAAGTGAAGCTGATAGTCTCAAACTTGCCATAACAGATGCTGTGATCAAGATCTCAGAGAYCTGAAAGGAGATGTATGCAGACACAGTCATTGGAAAGATGAAGTTGTGGGAGTGAAAGGTTTCTCCAGTGAACTCTGGAGGTTCTGTTTTGATTGTCTCTCTCTAAAAAGGAAAACGGGTAGGTGAAGCAGGCTGGCAGCAGGGAGAGAGATTATCCTTGTTGGTCAGTGTCTGAGAGCCAAAGAGCATGTTCCTTGTGGCTGCCTCTAAAAGACCCTCAAGTATTCATTGCTCTGCACAAAAGCTGCCAAGAGGTCTCAAGCCACCCGCTGTGTGAGAAGGCAGAGGTACCACGGCTGAATAATCCCCCTCCTCACAACAAAATGCTCTCTTTAAATCCTGAAGACGCTTTCTGTTTGGTGACTGACCTTATGTGTCCCAGGAGGTGGAGGAAGCATTTTTTTGCCTCTTCAATTTGAGCCCCTAAATACCRTCAGCTGCCAAGACTGTGACTTGCAAAATCCATGGGATTCTGACTTTTTTCTTTTGGGGATGAGAAACCCTAGACGTACTTGCATACAGGGGCCAAAACAGGCAGGCATGCCCTGAGATGGGATGTGTGCCTGGCATCTTGCTGCCTGGTCCTGGGAATCCTCCCTCCTGACACTGTTGTTTTAGGAGTCACTGCCTCSAAGCACCACAAAAATGATGAAGAATCTAAATAAGGGGCTGAGAAATGATGTGGAAAAAGATAGAAAAACACTGCTGAGAGTGCTGCAGAGACAGTTTTTCTGCGAATAGCTTGTCTCTAAAACYATGGGGAGCTTTGGGGCCACTCTGGGGATGCAGAGAGCAAATATGGCACTGGGGCACAGAACTTAAAACATAAGCTGCATGAGCTCGCTTACTAAATCTGAAAACAAAGAGGAAACAACAAAAAGTGTCAAACCTCAGAAAAACCACCCTATTTTACTGTAGAAACTGGAGATACATTTTTTCATAAATAGAGACGCTTTCTACCTGCTGTTGGTGATATTTAAACCCCACTTTTCATTTTTTTTCTACCCAAGAAATTAGATTTTTGTGATGATTACAACCTTGAAGACATTCAAGACATAGGACAGCTTGTTTTCAAGAAGAGATACATGATATAAAAACTGAGACTCTGTATTTAACTCATGAGGTTTGATCCCACTGCTACTGCCTACTCCTTAGAGAGGTTACCCCCGTGGAAGAGGACTCGCATTGTGGGCATCTTGGCRAGGGAGCTCTGCAGGCTGCCCATGCTTTGAATAGCCCAGGATCGCAAAGAAAGCTGTAGTTTGAATAAATACAGAGGTGTGTCCTGCCCCTCTAGGCCCACGGGGAGCTGAAGCAGGCTGATGTCCCCCAGCGCCCCGCGGTCACGCCTGGCAGCACGTGCGCAGCAGCTCACGGGGAGCGGTGCCCGAGGTGCCCGACCATCCGCCCTCCAGATGTTCCCATCTGCCTTACCTCACCGCTGGAGAGGAGCCAGCTGTGGCCGTGGGCCTGCTGGCTGCTGATCGCTCCCGCTGCAGAGGTCTCGGTCCGGGTGCCAACCCTGCAAAGCAGCTCGGATCGAAACAGAGCCAGGCRGGCTCTTCACCCAAATCACAGCTGTCCCCTGCTGCCCCACGGCTGATTCTACATCTGGGACGCTGCAGTTCGTCTCTTCTCCTTTCTCACTTCCTGATGCACTTCTGCCTGGCTACAAAGCATGAACTTTGTTATCAAAAGCTGATAAGCTAAACCACATCCTAMAACAGCAAATGCAATCATGAGGGAAGCAGTACCCAGGTGTCCTTGCAACTGAGGAGACCTGCCCTGGGTCATAGTGCCAAATACTTGCTTGCCTTGCTAATTCAGCCACCCCCAGGACTGACAGGGGAAAAATAAAACATCCCTCTCCCCAAAATATTGCTAAAGAGGAGGTAGAAGTGAAATACGGGAAGTGAGAGCAAAGTTGATTTAATTGCCAGACAGTACAAAGACTCGGAGTCCTGTCACTCCCACGGGTTTGGGTGCTTTGGGATTGAGTTCCTGCCTGGGGGCCCAGCTGTGCACCGCTGGCATGTGGCAGGGTCCCAAAAAGAACCAGGCTCTTAAGAGGTGTCATCGTCTGTGGCAAGCAAAGGCATGTTTGCCACAAACATCAGTCCCTGGCGTTCAAGGCTACAGGAGGCAGAGTGCTGTGAAAGTGCAAGGGCTGATTTACCAGGGCATCTGTGACCTGGCACTGCCACGTGTAGCTGGGAAGGGAGCTGACCTTGTGCAGAGCCCATCTGGCACTCTGTTGCTTCGAGTCCTATTTCTGCTTTGCCAGTCTCAGCACACCTGGAAGAAGACACGAGTCATGGTGACACTCCTAATCCCACTGTCGTCCTGCCCCACAACAGCTGCCCTGGGAAGTTGCTGTGGGCTCCCTCTTTCTCGGCAGCCCTCGCCTGGCTCCTCTGCCTGCTGGCGTTTGACTTTCTCACTCCCTGCCTCCCTCSTTCCGCCGGTGCTGATTCCTCATTCAGGGAGTGACACACCAAGGGACGTATGCTCCTGCTGCTCATAAATCCTTGCAGGGTACAATAGCATCCGAACCACTCAGCTCACCCTGCTTCTTTTCAGTGCCTCTATTTTTTTTTAACCAGATCTCCTTTCCCACGTGCTGTTTGCTGGGATCTTTGTTCTCCCGGCTTTTTGTGTCTCTTCAGYTCCCGTCAAGGCGTTGCTGCTGATAAAAGCTTGCAGATATGCCACGGGGGGTGTCCTTTGCCTAAGGAGTGTCTGACACATTCTGTGGGAACTTCCCCTTCCCTGCAGCTCTCGACCCCCCCACACACGAGCACGCTCCCGGCTGAKCCCGGCTGTCCCGGCTTTTCCATGTGTGAAAAGAGGAGGGCACGGTGCCACTCAGCCCAGCCGTGAGCCCCACAACATCCTCACCCAGCCCAGCTCACTCACCTTCCCGGATCTCGGTGCATCAGCCCACGAGCTCCGTGTCCCCTTTCCCAGGGGGGCTCACACCTCTGGCTCTCGCTGGCTCTTGGAGGCTCAGCTCGTGGGGAAGAGCAGCTCAGCCCCCGGTGTTTCCTCACCGCTGTCTGAGCGAGCAGCAGGTAAGACCAGATTACTGGGGTGTGCGTTGGAGGCTACACCCTGGTGCTGCAGATCCCAACATGCCTGCCACCCCGGAGTGCTGGCTCCAGAAAGCAGGAGCAAGGACCCAACAGGAGGAGGGATGCAGGGAGCTGGGAAGGCAAGGAGAGAGGTGAAATGCACGCTGCAAGTGAGGGGCTGCTCTGGTTTGAAAGGATGACTGACAAACCCCAGTGCTCTTCAGACCTCTTTGTGCAGGAAAATGTGGGACAGCACAGTGAAGGGGTGAATCCCTTTATGGAAGAACCACAGCCCTCCTTCACTTTCTGAATGATTCAGACCGGAAAAGGCGAAACCTGTGGCTGAGGAGGAGTTTTACCTTCCAAGGTGGTTGGGAAGAGCTGGTGCTTCCCAGGTTGGCTGGGGGAACGGCAGGCTTTGTCCCGGGACATTTCTGCTCCCTCCACACAGCTCACATTTTCCTGGGCTCTCAGGGGCTCTTAGGAAAGGGCTACTCACTGAGAAGGGGGATAGCCACCCCATTGTGCCTCCTGGGAGAAGGGCAAGGACTGTCCCTGGGGGAAGGATGGTCCATGGGGAAGAAATTGAGGGAGATGAAGGGAGACCTGCCCGGGAAAGGGTTAAGAGAGCCAGGGAGCAKCTGGGCTGTGCCAGTTTGCCGTACGTGGGCTGCAGGGAAGAAACGAAGACTCTCCCGCCTGAAGGAGGCAGATGAGGGAGAATCTTCAATAACAACGGATGCGGATAAGGGAGGCAGCAGGTCTACCCCTCTCTGATCCCTTGAGCTGTCGCTGCAGGGAAACTCTGTGTCTCCCCAAAGGGCTTGGACAAAGTGGTGATGAGCTGGTGGATCTGGCAACAGCTGCTTGGTGCTGCCGAGTTCTTGCTGTGTGGAAGGCTCTGTCTGCTGCTGCTTGGGGTCTTGGGCTGCTTCCTGCAGAAGAAGTGACCCGAGTGTGGAGGATGACAGCCACATCATCTGCTGACAGGATGGCACAGGCTGTGGGTGTCACACAGATGCTGTCCCCATCCATGAGAGCTTCCTGTGATGGATGGCCACCCCAGAGCCCTAGTTCAGAGYTCTGTGTGTTCAGAGTTCAGTGTGCTCTTACATGCATTCTGGGGAAACTTCTTCCTGTTTGGCCAGATTTGGCATTTTGTTCCCATCTGGAYCATCCTGGGTACCAGCTCTGCAGGCGGGTAAATCTTCTTCCCACCCCTGCCACCCACCCTGCCACAGAGCTGTGTCACTTACTGGCTCCCAGCCTTGGGAGCAGCTGCACTGGGTGACATCCATTTCTCCTGAGCAGTCTCCATCTGAATGCCYCTTTCCTGCAGGCGGTGACAGCTTCTCTTCCCTCACTGCATTCCATCCGTGCCTGTGCCCTCTGCTGACTGGTGCCATTTCTTATTCCACTGCAGGCACGCAGGGTCTGCTTTCATCCACGCCATCTCYGCTGCTGGCATGGCTTTGGCTGTGACCTGCAGCTGCAGGGAGCTGCACAAGTGTGGCTGCCACTGCAGGATCCCAGGAGTCAGCTCTGAAGRTGAAGGAGGCAGGGAGGAGGTGGCAGAGGGGCAGGTCCGTAGGGGAGATGGACCAGGGAAGGAGACACCTCCATTCTCCACAGCTCTTTGGCAGATCCTCTCAGGCTTCCCTTTCCTTATCTTAAAGCTGCTCTCCCTCTGCAGGTTTCCAGTGGTCAGGCTGCTCTGATGACCTGTCTTGTGGGGCTGCTTTCTCTCAGGCCTTTGTGGACAGCCATGAGAGGAGCCATGGTGTCCCCTCCAGCTGAGTGGTCATGGACCTGCACAACAATGAGCCTGGGAGGAAGGTAAGGGCAGCAACAAGGGCTGGGATTTCACTTACAGACCCAAACCATCTTGTCTCCCACAGAGTGGATCTCTTCTGTTCATATTGGCCTGACTTGAAAAGACACTTTTGCCCCTTCCCCTTCCCTTTTCCAGATGAAGGGTTGGAGGACACAGGCAAAATAACCCACTAAACTTCAGAAAAAAAAACAGACACAGTGGGAAGCAAAGTGCACACAAAAGCTTCTTGCTCACATGCTGCGTTTGGGACCAGGAGAGTCCCCSTCTCTGCTCCCTCCCCTTCTCTGGACACTCAAGAAAAGCCTTTTCCAGTGCTCAGCTGTTCCTTTGGCTGGAGAAATGTTTCCAGGAGGAGTTCCAGCAGCTGCCACAGTGAGGCTCCCCTCATTCAGTCTGACCTCAGTGCCAGAGAAGGTTATGGAACAAATTATACCAAGTGCCTTCACACAGCACAGCCAGGGAATCAGCCCCAGCMAGGACGAATCCATAAAAGGCCGGTCCTGCTTGACCAACCTGATCTCCTTTTATGACCAGGTGACSTGCCTAGGGATGAGGGAAAGGCTGTGCATGTTATCTTCCCCCTGGACTTCAGTAAAGTATTTCCTWCTGTTTCCCACAGCATTCTCCAGGGGAAACTGGCAGCTCATGGCCTGAACAGGTGCATTCTTTGCTGGGTTAAAAACTGGCTGGATGGCCGGGCCCAGGGAGTGGAGGTGAATGGAGATAAATCCCACTGGCCATTAGTGGGGTTCTCCAAGGCTCATATTGGGGCCATTCCTGTTTAGGAACTTTATCAATGATCTGTAGGAGKGGATCGAGGGTACCCTCAGTCAGTTTGCAGGAGACACCAAACTGGGTGGGAGTGTTGAGGTGTTGGAGGGCAGGAGGGCTCTGCAGAGGGGTCTGGACAGGCTGGATCCATGGGCCAAGGCCAGTTGTATCAGGTTTAATAAGGCCAAGTGCTGGGTCCTGCCCTGGGGTTACAAAAACCCCAGGCAGTGCCACAGGGTGAGGAAAGAGTGGCTGGGAAGCTGTCCAGAGGAAAAGGATCTGGGAGAGCTGGTGACAGCAGCTGAACGTGAGCCAGGGTGTGTGACCAGGTGGCCGAGAAGGCCGATGGCACCTGGCCTGTGTCAGCAACAGTGTGGCCAGCAGGAGCAGGGCAGAGATTGTCCCCTATTGCCTTGGCACTGCTGASGCCACACCTCGAGTGCTGTGTCCAGTTCTGTGCTCCTCACTGCAAGAAAGACACTGAGGTGCTGGAGTGAGTCCAGARAAGGGCAACAGAGCCTGTGAAGGGTCTGGARTGGCTGAAGGAGCTGGGGGTGTTCAGCCTGGAGAAAAGGAGGCTCAGGGGAGCCCTGATCGCTCTCTACAGCTCCCTGAAACAAGGCTGTAGCCYRGTGGGGATCRGTCTACTCTCSTGGGTAATCAGCRACAGGATAAGAGGAAATGGTTCCARGCTGTGTCAGGGGAGGATCAGGCTGGATATTAGGAAAAAAATTTCTTCACTGAAAGGGTGACYAGGCATTGGAGCAGGCTTCCCWGGGAGGTGGTGGAATCACCATCCCTGGAAGTGTTCAATAAACAAGTAGACAGGACACTTTGTGATATGGTTTAGTGGGCACGGTGGTATTTGGTCAAAGGCTGACCTTGACTATCTTGAAGGTCTTTACAAACTTTAATCATTTTTTGATTGCTGCTTGGAGAGTCTGAGGAAACTGTCGTGCCACAGCTGCACCTCCTTGGCTCCCTCGGTCGCACTCAGCACCCGGTAGTGCCCGTGATGCTCACATTTCACCTGGGTCACCTGAAGGAGAGCCAGAGCCYGTGGGAATGGTACCACTGCCCCGAGGAAAGAGGCCTCCATGGTGGATGGCATCTGGAGTCTGGGATGATGGGGGCACCAGGGGRAAGAGGGTAGAACTAGCTGGGAAGTGGTGTGTTTGCTAAGATACAGGCCAGTCCTCTGTCTTGCTGTGGTGATTTTGGTTTTTGTTACTGCCTAGGAGGCACCCAGTAGATGGGGGAGATCCTGCCCCACAGGGATATACAGGGATATCATCCCTCACAGCATCTGTGCAAACCCCACCYACCAATTTCACTCAGTTGTGCTGGGGTCACTATTTGTCATCCACCCTCCCCGCCCCTGAACACCCAATTCTGTCCTCCTAGAAGGAAAAGCAGCAGGGCAGTGAGTCCAGCAGGGACTGGAGGGAGCAGCCATGGAAGAACAGGCTGGGCAAAAGGCAGCGTGGCTGCTCCTCACCCTCTGGTTGTGGATGCTCTTCAGGAGGCACTGGTAGTTCTTGAACATGCAGTAGTTGGGATGCTGAACTCCRCTTGAGTCACAGATCTGGCAACATGGGAATGACGGTCAGAGAAAGGAGAGGAGAAGGAAGGATGGGAACATCCACTGATGGTCACCCACCTTTTTCGAGCCATCCCCATGTTTRAATTTTTCATACTCTGTCTCCAGCCAGAGGGTCACGGCAGGGTCCTTACAGCCATGGATGGCCATYCGGCTGCACCAGTACTCCAGCCTCATCCCTCTAAAATTGTCCGTGTTGTAGTTCTCCTGGGTCTTTGGAGACTTGGACTGCAAAGGGGTGGGATAAAGTGAGCCATGCTTCTTCCTCCCCTTCCCCAGCTCCCAGTCCAGGCTCCTCCTCGGAGAGCAGCAGGACACAGAGCTGGCTCGGTACCTGGTCCTTGGTGTCCCCGTGCTGGGCTAAGATGTGAGGGTTGATGTAGGCGGAGAAGCTGCTGGAGCCGCAGGGAAYGCGGTTCAGGGTCTCGATGTTCTGGCACTGCTCCCTCTTCAGCGAGCAGAAAGCGCAGTCGGGGCACAGGTCCATGTGGTGCCGCCCAAGGTTGTCACACACCTGGGGTGCATCCAGCAGGGAGTCAGCAGGGAAAAGGAGTCTGAGAACCTCCCAAAACAGGAGCCTGAGGAGTTCCCGGATTCCTGGCTTGGAGCTTGTCTCCCTGGTCACCCAGGTCGGCTTCTCCCGGGGGTGGCCTGCACACAGTGGGGGCCCAAGGTGGACACTGGTGTCTTTACCGAGTCTCCRAACCCAAAGACTCTTCTTTCCATCTCCTTCCAGGCCATGGCGAGCATGGATGAGACACATTTTCCCTCCAGCACTGCATAGCACAGGACCAGCACCGCCTCGTCATTCTGCAGGGCTAAAAGGCTGACAGACAAAGGGAAGAAAGGAGTCATCTCATTCCTTGCCATGAGCTGAAGAGATGCATCTTTAGGTAGAAACAGAAAACAACCCCAAAGCATAGCCAAAAAAAACCTTTCCAAAGAAACCCTGGACTCATGGCTAAATTGCACAGAGGAATGGGGCTCTCTGCAGGGTCTGTACATGACTATGTAACACAGGCACTGTGCGGGGTGGGGGTGTGCATCTGGGGGCATGTGASATTGACTGGATGAGGAGCACAGCTTGAGGAGCTTTCCCAGAGCCCCTGCAGCAGCTGCTGCCTAATTTCATCCATCTGAGTGCACAGGCAGGAGATATTTGTTAGATGTCGGCTGAGTGTTGAATGTGGGGCAGCCCCATTTGGGCTTGGAGGATGTCACTCATTAAGCCTTCCTTCCAACTACTTGACAAAATGAGGAAAAACTTGTTAACCGTGAATTAACTGTTCATCCAAACAGACACGGGTAGCTAAAAGTAGAAAATTTAAAGACAATGGGATCAGAACAATGAGAATATTTGGCATCTCTTAGGAACAATGGCATTTGTAAACATGGTACAGAATTGTTAGCAGACAGGGATGGTTGGTTTCAATCATCATCAATGATGCAGAAGAGGTAAACATGCTCATTAGATACTTGCCTCYTGTGTCTGGAAACAAAACCAGTGAAAAATAAACAAACTTTGATCTGACAGCATAAAAAGAGCAGCAATGGCTTATGTTAAAATGCTCTTAAAATCCACACATGGGCTAACTTGTATGAACAAGCTTTCCTGAGAATATCTGAAACTTCTTGGAGACCTTTAAATTAGCGTTTAAAAAATAAAAAAGAGGTGGAAAACCTGAAGGAAGGTCATGAAGGTGAGATTTCCTAAGGCCTGGAAAACTCACCTAGAGGCAGAAGCTAAAAAAGCCTCACTCAGCTGAGCAAAGACACTGGTGGATGCCACTCAGTCAGCACTTTTACCAAGGAGGGCTTCAGCTGGAAAGTTTGTCCTTGTCAGTAGACGAAAGAGTAATGAATTGTGGTGACTGGGATTTGGGGCGGGATGCATTCAAACCAGAGGCAAACTGGATGTTCCTGACACCGAGARTGTTTAGCAGCTGATGGGATGTGCTCCCTCCACAGTTTGGAGACTTCAAAAAGATATCCCAAACTTCTGTAAGGAGAGGAGTGTGTGCCTCAACCACATAGCGCTGTTTTTTTCCTTCGGAGATCACCAGACATGACTTCATGCCCTGTGCTGAGCAGGATGGTCAGGGTGCATGATCAGAGCAATTCCTAGAATTGAATGTTAAAAGACACGAGCCTCGAGAAAACCAAGCTGTGCCAGCCGCCTGAGGTTACCGAGAAATTCTGCTGTGCTCTCTGTCACATCCTTTTCCTCGTCTATCTCTGCTCTCCATCTCTGCTGTGAGGTTTTCTGGCTTCACAGTTGCAAATTTATGAGCTGATTTACCACCTCTGGGTGAGTGTAACAGCACTGCTGCTGATCCCCTCCACTCGCTGACACGCTGCTGAGCTGTTTGTGGATGCACAGAGGTTTCACCATGCTTCAGGGAAYGGGATGGGTCTACCTAAAGCAATTTTTTAATGTAAATCTCTCCCCAGCTGTGTACCTCTGCATGTCATTGTCCTAACCACTGCCCTGGAAAGAGCCTAACAGGTACTGTGAGGCAAAGATTAAAAGGAAATGTGAAAAAAAATAAAAAAAACAAAACAAAAAACAAACCCAAAACCCTGAGGATTAAGAAGAATCTGTGGGCCAAGATCAGTAATTGATCCAAGGCAAACAGAAAATTTCAGGTACCAGTTTATCATAGTTCAGCATCTCGAGATGTGGAAGGACAYGCAGAGCCTGCTCCAGCGGTGTCTCTGAAGGGCACTGCTGAACAGCTTCTGCTTCTCCCCCATGTAATGACAAGGATTTGGGTCATTAACTTTCAGCTGCTGAACCTTCCTGATACTGGCTGGCTCAGGTGCAGGGAGCACCTGAGGCGAGCAGAAAAGACGATAAGGAGTGARCAGCAGCTTTACAGCACTTGGTAACTTCTGATTTAGAAGGGGGGGTGGTACTGCTGGAAACTAAAACCAGTTATGGAAAAGCCACTCTTAACAGCTTCAGAAAGAGAAAAAAAMCATCTTTGACTGCATGCCAGGGCTGTCTATGGGTGATGACATTTCAAAAAGAGTGTTCTTTCTGGGGAAGGTATTTTTAATGAAGGGTCTGGTCTTAAAATGAAAGCCTCTGGGGCTGAAGTAGATGAGCAGCACAAGGGCTGTTTGGAGGGGTAAAGCAGGAGGAGGAGGAGCAGGGCAAGCCACCAGGACRGAGTGTATCTCTCACTGCACATAAATATCTCAAGGGTGGGTGCCAAGAGGATGGTGCCAGACTCTTTTCATTGCATGAGGACCAGTGGCCAAGAAGTTCCATGTCAACATCAGGAAGAACTTCTTTACACTGAGRATGGCAGAGCACTGGAACWGGCTGYCCWGGGAGGTCRTGGAGTCYCCCTCTCTGGAGACATTCCAAACCCACCTGGACAGGTTCCTGTGTCACTGCTCCAGGTGRCCCTGCCTTGGCAGGGGGTTGGACTGGGTGATCTCCCCATGTCCCTCCAACCCTAACAAGTCCGTGATTCTGAGAGGGCTTGGAGCAGCCTTGCTGGGGAAGCTGGKCTCACATGAACCATGAGTGAGCATCCCTGTGCAAATATCAACAGAATGAGATCTGCATCTGGGGCAGCCGTGATGCTGAAAGGGGTGTAGGGGTTGTGGCTGACAAATGACACAASAATGGGAAGGCCTGGGGAAAAGGGCAAATGCCTGTGCAAATGGAAAAGCAGGGAAGGGAGGTTGATGTCCTTTCATGTATCCAACTGCTGGACCCCATCGCTGGGTGCACACAGAGCACGGGGATATTTTAAAGGGACACTTGAAATTGCTGCAGAAAATGAGAGTTGTGCAGGCTTTATAATGCAAGGGCTGCAGAGCTCCCTTTAGCTTATTGCAAGACTGAATCATGGTGTAGAAGTGACTCTGAGGAGGGGAAACWCTGGGATATAAGGCAGAAAGCACAATAAGGACTAAAAATAGAAAATGAGTGCAATAATTGTCATTTCCCCCTCCTGCCCAATGATTCAGCGCTACCAGAAAGACCACAGAAGAATGCCACAGATTCTTCTTGTATTATTGCCCTTGCCCTGTCTCTCTCTAAAGATCAGAGTTGGCCCCATCAGGCACTGTGAAAGCTGGAATAGCTACCAGAGCAGCTGCCAGAAGCCACMAGGGATGAACAAGAAGGATGGGTGTCCTGCTGGACATAAAGACCCTAGGGAAGACATGCAGCTCTGGATCTGTGCCCATCACAGCCCTGCCCACCTTGTGTTAGAGTAGATGCTGAACGGCACCTGTGCACAAAGACGAGTCCCTCCCAGCACTGCTCCTCTTGCTGGAATTGAAATGCCTCCAGGCATTTTGGCCCGTTTTTAGGTCATGCTTTGAAGTCCCTCTGAGAGGGAGCGGGATGTGGCGAGTGGCAAAGCCGACAGGCGCGGTCTATCTCGCCTCTTTATCCTCGGTGGGGTTTAAGCTTTAGCATGATTGATGGGGCTTGGCTGCCAGTTACAGGCACACAGTCAGCATTAGTGTCTTTGAGAAACTGCAGCAGAGCAGCGACTGTCATCTGCAATCACAGCAGTCCCCCAGTAATCCCAGCAGAACTCAACTGGAGCAAGGCTCAGTTCCAGAGGCAGGGAGAASGAAATCCTCAATGAAACACGATTTTGCCTGAGAGCACATACACCAGGAAAACTTTTGCCAGGCAGTAAAAGCYTCCTACAATATTAGGAAGGAGGATGACATATGTTAAAGCCTTGCAAGAGAACACTTAYGGCTTTAACAACACGATACAATTCATCTTTACGTGCAGAAGTGGAATCTCTGGCTGAACGGTAGCAGTGGTACGCAGAGAAACCACAAATGTGCAATCAGGCACAAAATCTGTGTGTTTACAGGAACATCACTATCCAGCAAGAGAGCAAAACCAAAATGACTTCTCCATGAAAACCACATCTAGACATCAATTGTCGTTTTTTTTTCTTGCTCTTGATAAGGGAAATAATATTTGCATCTCACTCAGAGCAAGTGGTCCTCAGCCACATAGTACTAAAGGATCAAAAAGTAAGYTTGAGTGAAAGCATAATATCCTTTTTGCAGTATTTTTCTGGGTTTTTTTAATCTTTTTTTTTTGCAGGGGTCAGCAGGCCCAGCTACCTGAGGACAGAGGGAAACAGATGCTGGCAGACCAGCTGAGAAGAGCTCACTGTGCTCCATAAGCTCCTCACTCATCCTCAGGAGCTAAGAAGGGTGTGTGAAAGGATTGCAGCAAGCTGGACTGGTGCAGGGCCCCATGCTGAMCTGCCATGTAGCTGCCTCCAAAACCAGAGTGGGGAACCTGAAACCCTGTCGGAARAGCTGTGCGCAGATCCAGAGTGCAGAGAGGTGCCTGGGCTTGAGGGGAAGCAGTGGTCCTGCACGGCCAGGAGCAAGGCTTTGTGCTCCCAGCTGCTTCCTCGCCCAGGGCTGCTTTTGCTCCCCTGGGGTGAGGACAGAGCTCTCCTCAGAGTGTTCCTCAAGGCAGWTGGTTTTGAGAAACACAGAGAGGCAAGGAGCACAGTGGGACGCATCCCAAGGACCTGCATTTGCAAGGACACTTTGTGCACATCTCCCAGGMTCCTGGGAGGAGGACGAGCACACAGGTGATGGCACAGTGCAGACGGACACAGTGTGGGGAAACACAGGCACAGCACAAAGCCCTGCCTGCAGCTCAGGCCCAGCCTGAACCCACCTGGCTCAGGATGCAAGGACAGTGCCATTTTCAGGCACTAGCAGTGCTGGATCCCCCTGTCCCTGCTCACTCTGTGCTGGAGCCAGGGCTGCCTGGGGCTCCYCAGGTACATTCCTGCTCTGCATGGGGCAGCTTGCCCAGAACACTGTCCCATGCTCACCACCTGCTCCGAGCAGGGACACGGATGCCATGGGGCTGCTGTCTGGTGTGCACGAGGACAGCCCTGCACGGGCAGCGTGTGGCACCCAAAAGGAGCAGACCTGTCCTCACCTGCCTCGGGGGGGCATTTCCTGCTCCGGTGTGCGTGCTGGGGCCGGCGTGGTGAAGTTCCAAGGAGAGCCTCTGGACTTGGTGTCCAGGGATGCATCCAAGGAGAGGGCCGAATGGATCAGCTGCCAGATGCTTTTCCGCAGGCTTTGGTCGTCRGAGGATTCCACCGTGGCAAGTGCTGCGGTGGTGGCAGTCCAGAGGGTGGATGGGTGCACAGTGCTGCTCATCTGCGAGGGCGTGGGCACCATTGGCGTGGCTGTGGGGGGCCTCCCCAGCTGCCGTTTCTGACCTAAAGGTGCACGGGAGAACTTCAGAAGGTGTCCCACGTTGTCCTGCAGCACAGCATCAGCAGGACAGAGAGAAGCCTGGCAATTCAGGGGCATGGAGCAGCTGAGGGTGTCTTTTGGAGAACAGGCTGAAAGCCTGGAGGGTGGAGAGCAGCTGCAGACACTGGCAGGTGAGCAGGGGAGCCCAGCACAGCTCTGAGCAGCCGTACCTTCCATGGCAGGGGAGACTCCATCCGCTATTGAGGCGTTCGCAGTGGGGGATTGCTCYGTCGGGAAGGGGCTTGTTAGGGACCAATGCAAACACGGGACTCGCTGCGTGGAGGAGACAGGGACAAACACCAATCTCACTGTGTCATCTTCCCTTCCTCCTCAYCCTTCCACTTCCCAAGAGACACTCCCCACCCTGCCCCACATCCCACTCCTTACCTTGACGTAGAACTGCTCTTTGAGGCAGCGATACTGGGCGAACTGGCAGAAGGTCTGGAACTGCACCATCTCTGCCAATTCAGTGCAGACCGGCCCTGGAGACAGAGATGTGGGATGGAGGGAGGYCTGGATGCACCGAGAGCTGGGCACCTCTTGGGTGGCAGCTCRGGGATGCAGGGACAGTCCAAGCTGTGTGCCCCCAGGTGGAGATCACAGCCTTGGGCTGTTACAGCTCCCAATTCCAGGCACCACATGGCTTTTCCCTCCAACCCCCTGAGAGTTTCACTTTGTCCTTCTGTCGTTTTTCACGCAGTTATCTTCCCTATGAGAGAGACATAGACTTCCTGTTTCCAGAATCKGATGCTTCTGTTATTAGTCCTTGCTTGGTTTAAAAAAGAGAAAAAGGACAAGCAGTGATGTAATAGGTTAAAAAGATGCCCAGACTGGGCCTGGGAGCACCAGAGAATCAGAGAATGGTTTGGTTTGGAAGGATCCTTATACATCACCAAGTTCCAAGTCCCCTGCCATGAGCAGGGACTCCTTCCACTGGACCAGGCTGTTCAGAGACCCCCCCAGCCCGGTCTTGATGGGTCAGGGTTGGGGCAGCCACAGCTTCTCCAGGCAGCTGGCTCCAGAAGAGACCTATTCTTCAGGGCAATAGAGTTTGACATTGATTCCAGCCTTGCAGGGACGGAGRAAGGTCCAGAGGGTCAGGTGCTGCTGGCAAAGCCTGCGCCTGTACACACAGACCCTGCAACCCTGATCAGCACTGCTGACAYGCTGACTACGGAGCTGCAGCTCTTCCTGCAGCAATTGCAGGAAAGCCAAGGTCATGCAGGAGAGCAGAAAACCCTGGAGAACTGGGTGGTCTTGTGCTCCCTCTGCTCTAGGAGGGCATGGCCTGGCTGAGAGGGAGGGCAATAGCGGTGGAATTGCGCCACTCTCCTGTCACTGCTCGTGCACCATCCTTTACCCTGCACTCATTTGTGCTGACAAACAACAACACCATTGAAAGTAGAAGTTCAGATCTACACCAGCATCCCAGCCTGGAAAAATGCCCAACTTGTAGGTAACACTCCAGACCCCTAGCCTGTCCCTTGTTTAAAGCACAGGGTGACTGCCTTCCTCAGCACCACACCTGAATGAGTATGGTATGCTCAATTAATGCTCATGGGTATCTGGATGCAGACAGCCCTGCCACAGCTCTGTGAGCACAGCAGAGGCTAAACACGACAGGGCACACAGTCTGCCACATCTGTTCCACCTCTCAGACTGGCTGAAACAAGACAAAATAGCCCCAAAACTGGAAAAGAGGTAATGCAAATGGGAATAAATTCTGTTAACGGGAATAAATTCTGTGTTAGGCTGAGGGATTGGGAGAAAGAAGGTAAAGAGGGTAACCTGCAAAATTGTCTAACCTCTTGGCAATTCCAGATGTTTCTGCTCTTTACAACTGAGTCTCTGAAGGCAKCAGGAGTGGGACTGTGGCTGGATGTGACAAAGAGCAGTGCCAGGGAATTGGGMACCAACTCCTCTCCACCAGGAGGGGAACCAGGGACAGAACCTGGGTGCAGAAAGTGCTATGGCACAGTGGATTGCAAGTGTCCACAAGTGAGTGAGGAGCACAGGACCCCTCCCTGGGTCTGGTGATGTGGGGTGGGACTYGTTCCCCCAACACAGCTGCAGAAACCAGCAAGAAATAGTTGCCCTCAAGCTGCAGCCCAAATGAGCGCAGTTGGCTGATCATTCAGCTCATTGACGTTCACATCTAAATATAAAGGCATATTTTTTTTTATGAGAAAATTGCTCCTTTTTTTTTCCTCTGAAGAAAAATACAACAGAAGTAGTCCCAAGTTTTTCAGCTGCACAGATATAATTATACCACTTAAATTCTCTGATGCAGGGGTGCAGGGAAAATATGACTGCAGAGATTTGAAGGGTGCTGTTGCTATGGTGCTTTCTGAACTGGGATGTTTCTTGGCTCCTGAAATGTTAAACACTTAAAAAGGCAGCTTATCATCTCAAGTTTACTTAAAGACCTACGAGAGCCCATAAGCCAAGATTCTGCATTAACTCTCAGATGAAGTTGGAAGGAGATAGTGAGAGATGAGGAGATATACTGAGCTTTAGGAAACTGTGACCAGTTTTCCTTCCTGCCACTGCACCAACAGAGATGTGGAGAAAGGAAGGACCATGCAAGTGGCTGTGCCTTTTGGCCCCATGAGCTGTGAAGAGAAGCTGGGGCAGCTTGCTGGGTGAAGCGGAGTTACAGCAGCCCTGAAGGGCTTGAAGGAAAACCACAAGAGGACRAACTCTTCTTGGTGGTTCCAGACAACACGTGGGGGGAAAAGAACCCCCATGCAAATTCCTGCTTGGGAGATCTGGGCTGCTCATTGGGAAAAACTTTTTTTTTCTCCTCCAGGAAAGTGGTGCAGCACTGCAAGGGATGGCCAGAGAGGCCACAAAAGCCCAAATTATAGAGCCGAAACCATAGAGCCCAACCCATCCCATTCCCACAACCTTGTGGYATTTTGGGGCAGGGAAACAGCTGCGCCGCTCCAGCTGTGCCCAAGGGTGGGTGCTGCCCTTACCTTCGGGGATTTCGCCGTGGTTCTCGTCCTGGTCCAGGTGCACGATGGTGGGGCTGAGGCAGCCGTAGGCCTGGCGCAGCAGGCAGAACATGTTGGCCTGCCAGGGCGGGTGCAGCCTGGCGAAGAACTGCTGATACTCGCTGTCCGACAGCGGGCTGCCCGGCATGGCGGGCACCGGGGCGGCAACAGCGGCCGGCGGCAAGGTCAGCACACCTGCAGGACAAACACGGCCATGCTCTGGGCTAACCTCGGCAGGGCCAGAGGGTGGAAACAAAGAGCAGCTGGCAGGCTGGCCTGCTGGCACAGAGCAGGCGCTGGGACAAATTCCTCAGGTGCTGGCCTGAAGTGTCTCTCTGTCAACCCTGCCTGCAGGGTGCTGGGGCTACCAGGAGCCCCAGAGAAAAGGGGGGTTAAGAACAAAAAGGAAGGAAAAAGCCAAAGAAACTTATGAGTCAGATTTTATTGTGAGCTTGGTTTGGATTGGGGGAAGTGTTTTGAGTTTTGGTTTTGTTGTTTTTTTTGTATGTGTGGGGTTGGGTTTTCTTGTGTTTTTTTATTTTTGTTTTTGAGGTGTTTTCTGGAGGGGTGTACGTGAAGTTTTTCTACTTTTCCCCTCAAAAGCCCCAGCTTCCCACAATGGTGGTGGCTCCCCTGCCCGCTGCACTATCCTGTGGGCACATCCCTGTCCATGGGGACATTCCTCCATCTCCTCCCTCCCCTCTTTGGATCCCCTCTCCTTCTGCCTCTGCACCCTCCTCTGTCCCCACCCTGTGTCCCCTCCAAGAGCCTCCAGCYGCCCCACGGATGACCAGAGCTGAGGGCAGCCATGGCCTGTGGGCCAAGTGGGGTGATCTTATGGGAGATGGGGATGTGATAGCAGCAGAACCAGGGCTCCAGCCCCAAGCTCCGTGGTGGCCCTGTGAGAGCGGTCACTTACTGAGTAGCCAGAGGAGCTGCGCCGTGCCTGCCACCCGCTTCACCATCGTGGAGCTGCTCGRGGGCCAGGTGGGAGTCACCCACACACCGAGCAAGGCAGAGGCAGGATGTCTGAGCCCTCGGATTCTGCCCTTGGCAACCATGGAACCATCCCTGGCCACGGCACCGCAGTCACAGCCYGACAGTGGTGTCACTGGAGCCGGGGAGGAGCGCGGGGGGCGCAGCCTGCGCGGGGCTCAGGGGACCTGGGCACCCACCGGGAGGGGAGACACATGCTGGGATCATGGGGACAAGGAGGAGAGGGAGCCAAGCTGGGAGCTTCCCCTCTGCCTGGGGACATGCTGGGGGCTGGCAAAGACCCACAACAGCCTTTGAGGCCTGGCCAGGCTGACCCGAGGCTGAGGGTCCCCCAAAAAGCGGTACCTCGGGGTACCTTAAACCCCACGTTATTTTATGCTCTTTTACAGGGTAAAGGAGGCAGCATCTGTTCCATCTGCAGGGGTCTGAGGAGCACCCCATGCCTTCCCAGGAATGTCCCAGTACCAGCTTGCTYCAGGATGAGGTGGGAAGCAGGCTTGGCCTCTCCCTGGCAGACACAGAACATTCTGAACTCCCAGGGAATCAAGGGAGCAGCAGCTGCTCTCCCTCCGCTTCTGGCACAGGAGCCCTGAGCACCTCTCTCCGCACAGAAAAACCTTCCCAGGTAAAAGCAGGAAGGCTGCTGCCAGCAAAAAGGGGTTTGGGGACCACCAGAGCAGAGTGCCYGGAGCCCTAAGGAGGGACTCTGAGGGACACCCACAGCCAGGCCCGGCTGAGGCGCAGGGCAGGGACACGGCCACACTCGGCTGCAGCCCCTGGATCGCAGCCAGYGCRGKGCCKCCYGCAGCTGGGCACYTTCTGATGCCAGAGGGGAAAACACRAGCGCAACCACCCCGGGCAAGCAGCTGTCGGGCTGCAAGGAAAATGCTTGGCACAGCAAGTCCGGGAAGCGCAGCGTCAGCAGGAGCCAGGCTGGCACCGCAGCCCCTGCCTGTCCCCGCTGGGCTCTGCGGAGAGGGCGAGCTGCGGGCAAAGCGGGCAAAGATGACAACTGCGCGCCGGGATCCTGCTGCAGGAGCCGCTTCTGCCGCAAATCCTGGGAGATTCCAGCGGCTCCGCTGTGGGGAACAGCTGCGGGTGCGCCGGCTGCGGCTGCAAGGCTGACACATCCCCTGCCAGGGCCCGTGGCCATCCTGGCTATCGAGGTGAGAGCTCACATGGCTCCAGCCAGGCAGTGCAAAGGGTGTCTGGAACAGCACGTAGCTCTGCGGGGCCTGGCAGGAGATGAGCTGGGGTTTGCTCTAAGGTGTCTTGTTGGAAAGTGGTGTTTCTGAGAAGCTTGAAGCCTGACCATTTAACAAGAGCACTGAATTTTGAATGTTTTTGCAGGTCTTTAGAAAGACATTGATCAGGAGAGTTTTTCCAACTAGCTCTTGCTACTCATATTAAAACAGGCAACACTGCCTGGGGCTGGCAAATTTTTGACAGTTCCTAGTCTTCCTTTACTTAGCTTGAGACATTGCTTATTAGCTGATTTTAGACAGCTCCAGGGCCTTCAGCTCCTCAGCTCTGTTAATCACCTCCACTTCTCTGGAACAATAGAGCCAAGGCTGAGATCTGTCACCATGATTGAGCTTCTCCCAGAGAAGTTCAGTGCTGACCTCACTGGCTCATGGTAATGTGGGACTAAGCAACCRCACTGATGTGGCATGTCACAAAATCACAGAATCATAGAATGGTCTGGGTCCAGGTTTGGCTTCGGAGGGGACTTGAAGATCATCCAGTTCCACCCCTCCTGTCATGGTCAGGGACACCTCCCACTASAGCAGGYTGCTCAGGGCCCCATCCAACCTGGCCTTGAACACTGCCAGGGATGGGGCATCCACAACTCCTATGGGCAAAGCCACGCAATGTTATTAATGTCTGGCAGGTGCTGYTTACACTGCCTGTGTCTACATGTGCCAGCAAGAGATTTATGGCAAATGCAAACAGGAAACAAGAACGAATAGACCAGAGTCTCTGCATGTACACTGAGAGCTCACACTCAAGGCAAAAGATGGGGGGACCTGCCAAAGAAGTCCCCCTTGGCTGGTGCTCTGGTAGCAATGCCTGAGGGGAGWTACTGTGTATTTGGAAAGGTGATTACTGTGAGGACAGGTTGGCTACTCAGCACTTCTCACACACTTTGGCATGCTCTGGGCTTGGTTCAGGTTGTCAGAATCCTTCAGGAAACTCACGGTCCTCAAGTGGATTATAGAGAAGCTAGCTAATGTCTGGCATGCACCCAGCAGGGTTGGGAGGCTGTGAGTGCAGGAGGCACTGCTGTGATGTTTGACGAGGTGTGTGCCAGCTGGCTGTGGGGCACCTGCATTTCAAGTCTCTGCAAAGCAGAAATCATCTTTGGGGGAGGGATGAGGATGGGAGGAGCAGTAACTTTGCACGATGCATCAGTGCTGCAGGCTGGGGGAAGTCTTCTCCCTGCTGCTGCATCAAGCAATTAGAGTTGTCAGCAATGCGGAGCACGGGGGTGATGTTAATTGCAGTATTTTCTGATTTCTGAGGGTTCACTTGGCGCCTCTAAGGCTGTACCCCCGATGATGCATGACAAGYTGTGTAATTTTTGCGGTGAAGCAGATTTGTGCCCTTGTTTTCAGGGCCACCACACAACAGAGTTTCTTGCAGGCAGTGCCAGCTGGGACTCGGCAGGCTCAGGGACCCGGCTGTAACCCCCAGACCTGCAGAGTGCCTGAGCCCGCAGCAGGGAGGTGTAACAGTGGGACAAGGACTCGCTGGAGTGGTGTTTTCCATGTCTCTATCCAATTGCATGCCAACCCCGAGCTTTGTGAGAGCCTGTCTGGTTTGTGAGGGATCACCCTTCAGCAGATGAGATCCTCTTCCTTGTTCTTGTCCAAAATACTTTGGCTATTTCTCAGCATTTTCCATGCTGCATGGTGCACCACAAACATCACCAGCAGGAGCAWTGTCTGCAAATCTCTTGGAAACTCCAGGACCTGGCTCACTGACCCCGTGTCAGTCCAGTGAGTTAAACTGGGGGGTTTGGGGCAGGGAGAGGATGTCTGGTCAGCTCAAAACCCCATAAAGATGGAGGCCATAAAGAATTAGGTGTGAATTCCAGACTCAGTGGCTTGTCAAGCAGCATCTCTAGAAAGTAAGTGTTTTAAATGATTTGAAATGTGAGCAGAGATATAGAAAAATGCTTCCAAAATCACCTGTATGTTGCTAGAAAATAAACACCAGGCTGCTTAGGGAGGAGGCCATGAGCACTTCTGCTTGTGCAGGTGTTAGGGTAGACCGGGGCCAACAGAGCTCCTGGGACTCGACAGGTTATGCAATCCTTACAGAGCACCAAAGGAAAAGTGTAGTTTATTTATTTTAAATACTTATTTTAAAAGTGGGATTTATTTAGTTAGTTGTTTTCATGTCTTAAAACGTGCACCTAAAGGAGCAGGTGGAGAAGGGGGACACTCGCTCTGTTCACTCAAGGAGTCCCAACAGAGGGGACAGCCCTGCTGAGATGCCATCAGAGCTCTCACACAGCAGACAAGCAAAGACCCCCTTCCAGTTGGGCACTAACTCTTCCAAACCCCACTSYGAAACCCCAGCGCTGGACACYTCCACCCTGCAGAAAGGGCTGTGGKTGTCAGTCCATGCAGAGCASGGTGCAGATGTCCATCTACACAGACAAAAGCGGTTCTGATTCAAACCAACATTCTCTGAATTGCTGACTTTATTTGCAGGTTAAATCGTCTTCATTCTGCATTTGTACTTCATTTTGGTAGGTTTGCTGCCATTGGCTGAGAGCTGTGCGAATATGCTGATAAATATAGACTTTACATTAAAATTGGCACTCTTTTAAACTTGGTAGATGTGTTAATCTATTCACATTTGTACAAGCACCGCACAGCTATAACGCGGATGAATTCAAATACTTAATTTACATTTTATTTTGTTAGGAAATAGTGAACAGAGCATTTTTTACTTGACATTTAGAAAATGGAATATTTAATTGAATGCAAAAACAGCATTTTAAAATGATTTCTTGAATTATTAATACAACCTAAAATGGAGTGGATACATAAAAGCATGCTTGAACAAACTGCCCTAGTCTTTTTAGGCAGGTTTGTTTCATGCAAGAACAACCTGATCCAACCACAATTTTATCCCTGCTGTGAGCAGGGGCTTGGACTACAAAGCTCCAGAGAGGCTTCTTCCCGCCTCAGTCTTTCTGTGGTGAGTAAATGGGTTCTTCCAATGGCTGCATTATTCAGGCTTTCAGAACAAGAAAATCTCAAGATCTTTTTCTTGCTTGTTGTCAATGTGTAAAAAATAATGCCTTCCCTACTCCCAGAYGGGTTTTCAGCTTTGAATGAGTTTTTCTTCAATGGCAGCAACCCAGCTCACTGAAATTAAACTGTGCACCTGCAGAAACAGACCGCAGTGGACACCTTGCTGAACATTTCTTTCACACCAAGATGTAGGAGCTTAGTGCATGTCACAGCTTTGCCTGTCCTTAAACCTTGGGCACAAACGTGTTTTTTTAAAACTTGCACTCTTCGTTTCTTTTATGTATTCAGAAAAATAAACATAAATTAGCATAAATTAATCAAGATGTTTGACTATTTTTATAAATGAAATTCATTTTATTGGATAAAAGCAGCTATGTTTCTTTTGATATTGTAACTACCAGGAAGCAGAGTTGGAGAAACTTCCTTCAGTTGTCTTTGGAAAGAAAGGTGGCACATTTTGTTTTGTGCCATTAGTCTTTAACTCTTTCAGTGCTGCAGTCTCCTTGCCTACTGCCAGATCTTTAGAGCAGATGTTGCCACCCAGGCTGTCAATGTGCTCACAGTTTCTCCTCCTGTTTCACATGACAAGGGGAAAGTAGAGCTGTGGTTGTTTATCAAAAAGCAGAACGGGTCCAAAACTGTCAAACCAGCCATGTCTGGGAGGAGATGAGCTTATTTTCAGCCAGTAGGARCAAGTTGTCCCGTGGGAATGTCTTCCACTGCCAGCTTGAGGTCTCTGGAGTGATTTGGCCAACTTTTGAATTGAGTATACACGATGGTGAGACAGTGTCCACCGCACAGCTCTGAGGACATGCTTTGGTAAGTAACACCTTAGGAGTGCTTAAAGAAAGGCTGGGAGTGTCTGAGCTGTGGGGTGAGTCTATTCAAAAGCAGGAGACCAGGGCGATCCCACCAGTGCAAGGTGACAGTCGTGGCTGGGATGGTTTCCATGAACGTCCCTCAGTGGACACAAAGGTGGCAGAGCCTGAGGGATGGGAGCCTGGTGAGCACCTCTGCTCTCTGGAAAGGGGAATGCTTTGCTAAACATCCTCCTCAACACATTTGCCCAGCTACTTAGGAATGATGCCTGCAGATGGGGCAATCAAACTGGGCAAGATAAAGTGGTCATTTGTGTGCATGACCAATAATTATTAATAACTGGTCTTAACAAGGCTGGAAAATTCTTCCCTCTTGTCACACGGTATTGCTCCAGCCTCCTGAAACTCAGACTTGAYTTCACTCATCAACTAGGATATTTCCAATCACTCTAAAAGGGCAATTTCTCCAGCACCGTTTTAGAAACTGTTTATGTTGCACTGACAGCTGTTCCAGGAAATCTGCAAGCTAGCCAATTCTGTAAAGGAATTCATGATTACTTTAACTGAGTAAATCCCTGCTTTAAGCACTTCAATTCTAGAAGTAAACTTCTCATATCTCATTACCACTACAGTGATCCAGGTAACTATTAACAAGCACTTTAAAAAAAAATCAAGTAATTTTTGACTGACCTTGTTTTGCTACTTCCCGTCAAACTGATTTTATTTTGTTGACCTGGATTTCTTTCTTGTTTTAGAGAGAAGCAATTTACTTCCCTGCTGTTCCAGTRTTTTACATCTGGACTGTTGTGGCAGCCTTCTTGACATCATTAAGGACCAGAACAGAGCTGGCACTTTTCCATCCTTGTAGGTTTTCCCAAGCAGTCAGAGTCTGGCAGAGATCAGCCCACAGATGCCTMTGGGTGGCTTTCACACAATGACAAACACCATTTATCGAGGACTGATGATCAAAAAAGTCTTTGCCCCAAGAGGTGCCATTTAAAACCCTTCTTTACTGTTTGCCTAGGAAGTACACCATCCCCATATGACACCAGAACCAACACAGAATAAATATTTACAGAACACTTCCCCTCCTCTCATTACAAACAATTCTGCTATCTGCAGTCAGTAATGGACAAGTGCCATGTTCAATTATATCAAAAACAAAAGGCATTCTAAAAAAAGCTGCTCATGTTTCCAGCCTTGTCACTTACAGGCTTTGTTCCCACTGGCTTCATTTTTGTACTTTGTAATTTCTAGCTTCTACTGATTCTGTTCCTCCACTGGTGATTAAATATTGCACAGCTATTGCCCTCCCTTCCAAGGTTAGCTTTTTCATGTGCTTTCATTTGCATTTATACTTGCAAGCCATTTAAAAATCCCCAGGTTCCATCCAAATTTTAGTCTAAATTGTCTCTTTCTGTAAGTCAGAGCATTCCCTCAGTGGCAGCAGAAGGCCCCTGAATGCTCCTTGCTGCTGGCTACTGCTYCAAACATCTCTCTAGCTCACAATTCCCAGAGACCTTGCTGCTAAYGCTGGCCATCACAATCCCGTGTCCTATCCCATCAAAGCCAAGCTGCTTGGAGCAGTGTTTGCATCCTTCATCACCCTTGCACTCTGCCCAAAGCCCATTCTCAAGTTAGGCCACATCCCCCATTTCTTGCATCAGCTGAGCAGCAGTTGATGTTTGAGTAAACCCCAGCTGAAGAGATCAGTTCTGCCACAGCCTGCTCACCCACCRAATGATAGCAGATTACTGAAACCAAGCAGACACACAGTCAACATCTTCCAGAATTTACCTCACCTTTGTTTAGGAAGGGAAGCCCCAGGAAATGGCCTGATATAATCTGGGGATTGAGATCCAGACTGTGGCAGGGTTATCACAAACTGTATGAGCCACAGCCTGGGTAAGAACTCATCYTTTTTTCTATGCAGTATGAACAGAAGAACAGAATGAACACCTCTTCTCGAGGCAAAGACTGACTCAGTGCTCAGTCACTCAACAGAAATGACTCCAGCTTCTGAGCTGATGGCTGACAGGGTCCCTGTCAATATGCAGTTGTCAGGGTCCCCTGTGCAATGACAAGGCAGGAGTAGCACTGATCTTCACCTGCACTTTCCTCGGAACCRAGAGCAGAGCTTTGGCTTCCTGACTACAAGAGCAACATCCTCCATGGATCCTTACAGGTTATCTGTGTGARGAAAACGTTCCATGTTTCAGGTGAACCCTCCTGATGAGCAGACCACAAACAGGAAGAAGACTTGTTTTGTCAATCATCTCCAGGTTGTGCCAATGGAATTGATATAGAGGAGCTTCAGTATGCGCCATCTCCTCAGTTATCTGCAGACTCTGCAGATCTTCAGGAATTGTTTTGGAGCCTAGTGTTACGTTAGTAACAGCAGCCAGAGTTTCTGGCACCAAGGTGATTGTGACTTACTCGGAAGCAAGTCATCAGAGTGTCAGGAAAACCCATCCACGTTTCTGGAGACACGTGGTTTGTCCTGATGGATTATTTTCCCAGTTGTGCAGCCCAACACACAGTGAGGGTTGGCCTTTGCAATCCCCACCCCTCCTCATTTAAGAGAAGGCAACTGAAGAAGTAAATGATCAAACAAAAATGTGAATAAATGTTCACCCTCTTGTGAGGGTACAACTGAAGGAGCAGGTATTTTTCACAGCCACCAGAAAGCTCAGTAGCTTTTTGCAAGCACATTATGTACATTTTCAAGCCTGATTTATACAGAACATCACTTATTAGTGCTATTCAGGATTGCTACGTGAAAAACCTGTACCACATTCACCATTTACAATAAAAGCAGAGCTAAGAGAGAAAGAAAAACTAGAGAGACCAATTGCCGCAGTTTATTTTGGAGGTGRCATAAAGGCAAACAGAGTATTTGTTTCAATGAATTTTATTTCATTCTGTATTATACAAGTGGGATCTGAATCCCCAAACTTCCCACCATAAACATAATGGAGAAGCACCACTACACAAGAGGAAGGCAGAATTTTGAAGCCGGAAGACAGACTGGACCAAGCCTTTTCTCCCCAGGTGGTCAGAAATTCTTCCTCCTTCACACAATGTGCTTCCCAGACCAGCAGGTTTASCCCAGGAATGAGACGAAGCTAGCTCTAAACATTCCCTCTGCCTCCTCCTCTCCCCAACAAAAGAGGCTGCTCAATGCCAGCAGTGGAATGGTTAAAGACAGGGAGCACATCAGGTTTTCAGTCTCTCAACCAGCCCACTAGATTAAGAAGCAGCCTGGTTACTCCCTCTCTCCTGAAAAGGATCCAGGAAAATGAATGACCTAAAATGCTGAAGACTTACCTTCTTTCCTTCCCCCATCCCATAGCCTTGCTCTTTAAGCAGAGAGCAGGCAATGAACTCTGAGGAGGCTGAAGGAAAGCCAAGGAAAATCAGGGGCTACCTGAATCCCTGGGAATCTGGTGGCTACCCTGGTGCCCTCATTCATTCCCTTGGAGGTTCAGAGACCTGTTTGGAATAGTACACAGAGAGGGATGGCCCAAACCACAAAGGGGGCAAGACTTCCCCTCAGCCAAGGCCCCAAGGGCTGGGAGAACTGGGATGAGGCTCTGGCAGGGGGAAGAGAGCTCCTGCAGCAGTACTGAGGTCTCATGTGAATTTACTTCTTCTTCCTCTCCTGGGAACAGCGAGGGCAGAACCTATTAGAAAGGGAAGTATAAAGCCAATATTTAGGGCATGACATGATCCTTAAGTACACGGTCCCAAAGACCTTTTCCAAGGTCCCTGACAAAGCCTGAATTCAAATTTTCCTTTTAATGATTATCTTCTAAGTGTGTATATATAGTACTTTCCCTACTGCCACCTAGGATCTCCCCYTTCCAAAGGCCTCCCAGGTTGCTTCACTTACCATTTTCCTCTTGGTTTTGTTGTCAGACCCACACAGGCAAAATGAAACCATTCAATGGAACACTGTTGGGATGAAAAGCAGACAGTTAAAGAGCAGTTTTCTTTTGAAATTGTTGCTTTTGGGCTACCAGAGTTTCCCAGCATTTGATCACAAACTCCTAAATCCCTAGGAGTGATCAAGGATTGAACACCCACACCTAATCAACACACTGTTAGCAAGGAGAAATCCCCTTCTCCCTTGCTAAGTTTAGGGGCAAGCAAACATTTTAAAGAAAACCCTGAATAAAGAGGCACTTCAGAGGTTATGGCCAGCCACACCTCTGCACTTCCCAAGTCCCTGAGATAAGCCCTCCCTTGTCACTGCTGGCTGTATCAGGCCCCACCCAAGCAGGACAAGGCTGTCCATGCAAGACTCATCTCCACTCCGTTCCCCCTCCATCTCCATCAAGTGCAGGCTCTTACATCTGGGTTGTCGCAGCCGATCATCTCCCCATAGGAGACCTGGTGGCACAGGCARTAAGTGGGCTCATTCGGGTCCACGGGCATATCCAGCACATCTGAAGGRTGCACATTTCCAAAGGTGACTGAAGGCATCCCATACTCTGTGCTRCTGCAGGACAGGAATAAAGTAGGTCAGCCAAGTAACAGGCTTTGAGTCCCTTCATGCATCCCAAGACAATGCTCTTGTTTGCCAGAGACAGATACTTCTCTTATTTAAGTACATACACCCAACTCCAGTGRAGTGACCTGCTTGCCCCTTCAATTCACCCACCCCTAAAAGAATAAAAAAGTTTCCTTCCTCTTGCTTCCCAAGAAGGGAYAGAGGACATAGCATTGCAGTCTGGGTTGGGATCAGCTATTTTTCTCAGAGAAGCCTGGCTAGGCCTGCCTTGGTCTGATTTCTAGTGCTGCTTCTCATTCCTGCAAATCTAAACACTTACGTGCGGACAAGCTTCAATTTCTTTTGGGCAGTTTTTGGTGCTTCCTCATCAGAGTTCTTCCCTTTAGAGCGAGCACGGGCAGCTTTTTTCTCTTTCTGGGCTCGGCCCTCTGGTAAGACRAGAAAAAGGTGTTGCACCTTTCATGCCACCAAAACAGACACCTGACAGTGACAACCACTCCAGCACTAAAATACACTCCTACTTTGGAATGTATATTGGCTTTGGGCCATGCACCCCATCTTAATTTATCTAGTGGCCTTGAATATGCTCACACAAGAAGAGCCCAGGTCACCATCTTTTTACCTGTCCTTCAGATTCCAGCGCAACAGTCTTTGATCTGCACCACTCCAGTGCCTGCCTTCATCCCCACCACTTCCATAGTCACTTGGCTGCCTCCTGCATCAATCTGCAGCCCAGTGGTGGTACTCACTCTTCTTGCCCTTGCTGGAAGAACTGTCATAGTCACTCGACTCTATCTGCTTCTCCTTCAGGTCTGCTTCAAAGCGAGCGAGGTCTGTGTCCAGCCGCCGGATGTGCTTATCGACCTGCAAAGACAGCAGTGACCAGGAATTACCACAGGACAGAGCCCAGGAGGGCCAAGAGGGTACAAAGAGGGGACAAAGAGGTGGGGGGCTTGCACTAAAGAGCCAAGGGGCAAGAGCGGGCACAGCCTAAAAATGAGAGATCAGGGCCTTTCAAGATGGGTGGTTTTAGTTCRGACTTTCACATGATAAGCCCGAGACACTTCCCTTCATACCATCTCGTAGGTCTGCATAGCCAGCTGAACCTTGTCATCCCCAAATTCCTTGCACTTTCCATAGGCCTCTTGGATTTGCTTGAGAAGCCCCAGTTTTTCCTCTGAAGACAGAGTCCGTGCATTGCTGATATACTCCGAGGCCAACTTATCGATCTCTGACTTGAGGTCTGAAACAAGCATCCCATTAAATACACAAATACAACACACRCTACAGTGCCCCCCATGAGGAGAGACTGAATGACTGGAGCAGTTCCAGGCCTCCTCCCCTGCCTGGAGATCCCCATAATTAAGGCAAAACAAAGCAAAGCTGGTCAAGCTACATACTCCTTGTCTTGTCAAAAACACATCTCTAATCCTCACCTTCTGTCCTCTGATCCAGATCTCGCATGAGCTGGAAGTTTCTCTGTAATTCAAATGGCAGGTTCTCAATACCTGCAGAGACAGGAGAATACATGGAGAGAAAGTTCTTGTCCATGATGCCAAGGCAGGAACAAAGCTAACCAATAACACACCCTCCTGGTGCACATCAGCATGCTCCCATTTGTAGCCAGCTCCAGAGGAGGCAGACTATAAAAATGTGATATATTTAATTCAGAAGCACAGCTCCAGAATACATATTAGTTAGCAGAAAACTGCTGCCATGCAGAAAGGTCCACACCAAGAAAGCGGAAACCCAAAATCTGTAATGAGTGTCAGTCATTATAATACAACGTCTCCATCCAAAAACTCCACTCAGGAATGAAAAAACAGCACAACAGCTGGTAAATAAAGCAATTTAGTTATTTCTACACAAGGATGCAAAAATTAAAGTTGATCAAATGCTAATTCACTGAAAAGTGAGTCTGTTTAATGCATCCATTTAACATACAGGGGACAGTAGACACTTTGGGAAGAGCAAAGTTCAAGTCTGAGATGGGATGGGGAGCAGAGAGGAGTCCTAACCCCCCATGACTTGTGACTTCTTGTGCCTTCTGCACTGTCATCTCAGTGTGGTCGGTCCAACACCTGGAAGGATGCCGCACATCATGAATAATAAACGTTTGTAGGGCTCTGAATGAGCAATGTGAAGTTGATAGTCAATTAATTTTCAATGCACTATGCTACTCACCCCCTAGGCATCACCAGATGCTCAACTGGCAAAGCCGATAAAGACAATTCTCATTTTTCCATACCTGTCTAATCAAAATGAGATCTAGTGTCAATGCATTAACCTGAAGCCTAAGTTTGATTACTGTCAACTTTATACCTAATTAAAAAAACCCAAACAACTATCTCTCTTGCAGGTTAAAAAAAAAGTGGTGGGAAAAGATCTTCACAAACATAACGTGTCTGAGCTTCCTGAACGCACTCTCCAACTCACAGGGAGTGCAACTGAAGGTGTGTCTGGCCATCACCAACGCTGTCCAACATATCAGTCTGGGAGCATTCTCTATTTTCACTGCACACTTTTCTACAGCAATGAACACTTTTCCACTTCCCTGAAGAGCAACCAGTTGACAGGGAAGGTTCTGTATGCAAGAGGAAGGCTTTAACAAGTTTTAACAAGACTACATAACAGGACGTGAACTTAATTCTGTAAGAGGTAAAACCAACTCTCTGGGCCTTGCTGAGCACAGAAGTTTTTCCTTTAAAGTTTTCTCTTTAAAGTTTTTCCTCTCCTTACTTTTTTGCCCAAACAGCATAATAGTAAGTTACACACAGAATCCTTAGCAGCTCAACCTCAAGATGCTGCTTCAACAGMTTTCAGTTGCCATTTCTGATTTAGTTACCTGAGCAATGCTCAGATAGTAGGTGTCCTTATGTAGTACCCTGATACATAATCTATGCATCACCCCTCTGCATTCAAGGACAATTAACAGTGCAAATTCAAAAACTGAAAAATCACTAAGCRGCAAAATTAAGTCTGTTGGCACATCCTGAATTTGATACTTCCATGTTTGTTCAGCATGACAGACTTCACACAAGGTTAAAGCAGCTGACTACCAGATTACATCCCTACAGTTCAAAAAAGCATCTCAGAACATGACGGGGACATAATGCTGAAAATTATTATTGCTTATAGAGGGAGCTTATGGCAGCGATGAAATCCAGCTTGGGAATCTCGAGACCATGCCTTTTTCCTTCCTGCGATCCCCAGCCTCATCAACTCTAAACCTTTCAATTTATACAGCAAATGAAACATGGGTCATACTGCAGCATGCTGCTTTTCATTCCTCTCCAAAGCATCYGCTGCAGAAGACAAGACAGGTATCCTCTAGAGGAAAACAGTATMTGTTCCTGCAGTGCACACAATATGTCAAATTTATATTGAGCGTATTAATCCTGGAAGATCATAGCTTCTAAATTCTGGACTTTGTGGTTATTAGAAAAGATTAATGCAATTTCTGTTTCTCTTCTGAAAAGGACAGATGGTAAAAGCACAAATTCCACCAGGTACTGTCAGTTTTCCCTCAGCAGGGCTAAAAACCTTTAGATAGAGCAAGCACCTGAGCCAGCACAAAAACCAGAAGGATGCTACTCTGCGGGCAGAACAACCCCACACGAGGTTATGGTCACGTTTCACAGCGACGTTCTTGCACCAGGAGAAACTCGAGCAGGAYTTTTTCTGCTACAGAACCTTGAAAKGAACTGTGCTCTAGTTTTTACAGCTGTCATTGTTAAAATCTGCCAGCACACACCCTCGTTTGGACAGCGTCTGTCTTTCTTTTGCCTCCATGTGCCCGGCCTACTCTGTTCAGCCTGTGCCCCCCACCCTTGAGAGCCTCTCTCTCTCTCCAGCGCCTGCTCCCCTCAGTGCCGGCCAAGGGGCCGGGGCAGTGGCTCCCCTGCCTCGTTTCCTGCCTCAGGTGTGCAGAGCTCTCACAGTGGCTCTCACAGTGTGGGGAGGGCTGTTACCTGCTTCTGGCTCTGGCTGAGCAAATGCCCAGCACAGGCACCATCGGCAATCATTTACCAGTTAAGAATTTCCGGGCCATGGTCTTCCAGAGGCTCATTTGCTGGACAGGCTTCCACCTGGGCTGACAGACCCCTGTCACTTGAATTCTTCCCCTGCTAAACCAGCAAAATGATTTTCTAAAACCACAGCAAAATATTTCACTCTCCAAACCTATTACTGGACAAATGTTCTGCCACTGCTTCGTCAATAAACTGGGAGAAAATGAAACAGTGACAGTGCAGTGACTTTATAATCAGAACTGGTACAAAGATACTTTATCTGTTCAATTGAAAGTGGAAGGAAGCTGAGCACACCATTACAAATTATGATCCATAGAGAGTCTGGCAATAACAAAAAGTGTAACAAGATAAAGCTGCAGCTAAGCAAGTTATAACTGAGMAACAAACTATTTGTATAGTACATAACTTAATCTAGCTGTGGGGATGTTTTCTACTATCTGCAGCTTCACTCCAAAGCTCTTGCATAGCTTTAAACAGAAGCAATTCTCTGCATGACAGAATTTATCACAGGGGCCAAAACACTTGCTGAAATTGCCTGACCTGTGCKGGCTATCAGACATCACCTCTAAGACCCATTAAGAAAATAAAATCAACATTTGAGTCTCCATTTCCTCATTCCTACCACCATACTTTTCCTCACTATTTCTAAAAACATTCATGCTATTTATGTAATTTCATTTCCCCCTTTCTTCTTTTTTTTTTCTCTTTACAATTAATTTTGCTTTCATCTTAATAAGATTAAAATTACAGTGATTAAATACTACCTATCATAAAATACCCACATAATTCTCAGATTATGAACATGATAATCAAAAAGAAGAAATACCCTTGAGGCATCCTTGATCACCAGAGAAGAGTGACAGTACGCAACAATGGAAATAAAGAAAACCAAGGGCCTCATTCCACACAAATGGTACAGCAGCAAGAGAGGAAGAGGAGGATGGTGAGAATGTACAGGGAAGAAAGTGTTAGCAAGACCAACAGCTTGGCCCAAAGCATGGGCTGGCATTAATGCAACTGTGTCACAGAATCCAGAATGGGTAAGGTTGGAAGGACCAGAGCGGATCATTCTCGTTGAACCTCCCTGCTCAAACAGGGCCATCCCAGAGCACATGACACAGGATTGCCTCCAGATAGTTCTGGAATATGTCCAGAAAGGGAGACGCCACAACTTCTGTGGGGAATCTCTTCTAGTGTTTGGTCACCCAYACAGTAAAGAAATTCACACTCAGGTGAAACTTCWGTGCATCAGYTTCTGTCCTTTGCCTCAYGTCCCAGTGCTTRGCACTACTGAGAAGAGTCTGTCTCTACCCTGGACACCCTCCCTGTAGATAGCTATAGGCATTGGTGAGGTCCCCTCTCAGACATTTCTTCTGGAGGATGAACAGGCCCAGCYCCCTCAGCCTTTCCATGCAAGAGAGATGTTCCAGTTCCCCAAAAATCCTKGTAGCCTGTCTGCTGCACCTGCTCCAGTAGTTACATATCTCTCTTGGACTGAGGAGCCCAGAACTGGACACTGCACTCCAGATGTGCCTCACCAAGGCTGAGCAGATGGGCAGGATCCCTCCCCTCGGCCTGATGGCAATGCTTTTGTTAATGGAGTCACTGCACAGACCCATACACAAGCCTTGTGCAGCCCTGCTGATTCCTCTCATGATACAATCACCCTGAAAAAACACTGGTGCAGGTCTCTCAGTGAGCTTTCCCCACCTCTTCCTTTCCTTACCTTGTTTTCCTTTCTGATCAAAAGCTAGAGTCTCTTCACCTATCCTCACCTATCCTCAAGTATTATCCCTTCACAACATCCATTCTTCTTTTGTCTCTTTTATTCTCCTCTTTCCTTGTCATTCCTTCCCCTGTTCATTCTTCCACAAGCATCCATAACCATGCTATCKTCTCCCTTAAGAACCACACACTCTCTCTCCATAAGTCAGAATCCAACACCAGGTTTTTTTCTCTCCAATAATTATTTTATTTACTTCTTTTTAGAAACACATGTGGGATGTCAAGCGCAGGCAACTGATATTTAAACTTCAGCTACTTAATTCAGATGTTCACTGTGACATACAAATGCAGAGAGCAAGCCTACACAGCCTGATAACTTCAATTGTGCTTCAATCCTCTGCAGCACGTCTGTACTGTGCCAAACAATGGATTTGTTCTGTCCGAAGCCCTAAAAACAGATCAATAGCACCAAGGACCATACAAACACACAACACTTTTCCTGAAAAATCTGCTCACCCACCACGTTTAGATGCATGTTTAAATTTTATTGAAAAATGGGAAAATACATTTTGAAACATAACCATGGATGCTTTATTGAACAGTATAGATTCCAGCAAACACTTTTGACACCACATTGTTGAAGGCAGTTAAAAAATTCCTGCTTGCACCAGGGACTGCCACAATGAGAGGGTAAATCCTTTACCCCCAAGACTGAAAACTGGCTGGGATCTTGTTGGGAAGCACATTGGACT